GACAACACTGTTGATCCTTTTATTTCCAATATATGATCAATGTTGAGGCCCTTGTATCTTCATCTCGTGGGTACATGTGTGATTTGCTGAAATTCTGGTTTTTGAAACTGTTTTTCCATTTTTTTTGTACCAACTGATAAACTGCTTCAAATTAAAGGTGAGGTATTAGTGGAAATGTGTGCGGTGTGATCCTTTTTTTTTTTTTTTTTTTTTTCAACCATATTTGGGCTGAAACTGGTATTTTTATTATCAACTAATCAGATTGGAATTTGGTCTGTAAATTGCCAAAATGAAAGAGTTTAAGGTGACATTTTCAGATGTCTTTTGTCTGACCAACAGTCCCCAAAATCTGTTAGCATTAGTTTATAATCTGGTTTAACAGTGCTGTAGATGGACAATTTGTAAATCATGTTTTAAAAGCTGGAGCGTGGCAGCAATTGACACAGCAATTAGGATGGTTGACATGATGAGTAATTTCAGCTCTATTATGTCTCCATTTCAAGGTCGGGTGCATTAGACTGGGTAGAACAGCACATCTTATACTGAAGGCTGTAAAAACTGTAGAATTGACTATGTATTTACAGCCCTCAGTAGGGTATAGCAATATCATTCTATTTTTAATCCACATTCACTTCTCATTTTGCAAATATGGAAAAATAATACTGATATTGGTAAACTGATCTGAGGTGTGGCTGGCTCCTGGCAGCCATGCCAAGTTTCAACCTTAAAATATGGCTTTTGACAGGTCTTAAAAATTGATATTTAACATCACTCATTTTTAAATGTTTTGGTGAACATTTTATATTGATCGTGCTGTAACAACTACATATCGAAATCAACGTGGACTCAATTTTCCTTCATATCCATGGTCCTTTCTTTGCCAGTATGTATGTAAAATGGGTCTTTAAGAACATTATAAATGTAATTTAAGTCTAAAATGTATCCTGCAGAAACCCTGCCTGAGCTGGTCGGGATAGAAAAAGTCAGGTGACCTCGAAGGCCACACAGATAAATCCTCTGGATTATTAATGTGTGTATGAAGGTTTCTGGTTGGTGATATATGCAGTACTTCTGTCTGCAGATTTTCACACACACACACTTGTAGGGTCCTAAATACATGATGACCAAGAACACGGTGTCCACAGTAGTAGTTATCCTACAAATCTTCAGTTTAATAGACACATTTTTACACTTTATAGAACCATGAACCTCAGGACTAAATTCAAAGAAAAAAATATTTATTTTCCTCTTAAAAATAATCATACTGCTTTGACTTCGGCCCAGTTGTATCAGCAGAGGTCCATTCCAGTTACTTGAAATAATACAGGTTGAGTTCACGATCCACTCTTCTGTCCTCAACGTTGATTCCGTCTTGTGGAGAGCCACCACCTACATGGTTGTGTGCACTGTTGGCTCCTTTCTTTCCACTGATTTTACTGTGCTGGCAAAAAGCCTCCATCTTCAATTTCCTGTGGGTTTCTTGTTGTTTGACTGTAGAGCCCGCTGTCTGAATGCTGCATCAGTAACAACATACTCCTCAATGTCTTGTTGATACCAGTCACTACAGTTCAACCCTGCATTCACTCCGGCTGGTCTGCCAGGTCATTCTGCTCGAAGTATCTGCAGGACAGACACAAGGAAATTATTGTCATTGCATATATACAGTGTTTATCACACAGATTTAATCTGACATGGTATGCATATGTCATCTATATCAGATTGTAATATGTTGGTAAAGTCACTGTTACAACAAACTAGATATTTGTAAGTTAGGACCACAACCTCTTACTTTCTTTGCAATTTAATATGACCAACCATATATATATATATATATATATATATATATATATATATATATATATATATATATTTTAAAAAAGCGTTATGCAACCTGACCAATATAAACTATTTGGACTCTGCAAATACCTGGCAACAAGACAGATGAGCAGGTTGAGGGCAGGCAGTTTCTCATCCTCCTGACTCTCCTGTGGAGTCATAAAAGCAGGACAGACATACAGATACTGTCAGCTCTATATCAATATATCACAATTCTGACACAAAAACCTTGCTGTGAACAGTTTACATTTAAATACAGTACTGAAATAAATATGCAAGAGCTACGTTGACAGGATGCACTAGAGTGTGAAGTGTAGCACTGACACTTCAGCAGTGAGGTTTTAGCACCAAAGAAAGACCAAATGAAGCAAAAACAGACACTTGTACATTTCCACTTAAATACAGAAGAGAGAAAGGAGGATCCGAGAGTTCAGCAAACGCACACTGACAGTACTACACAGGATGGCAGTAGTAGACCAACACAGGCTGGGGGACGGGGGTACAAAGTGACTCGTACCAGTGTGCTGCGGAGCTGAGCACATCTCCTAGCCAACTGCCTGATGCAGGAGTGGGCTTCAGGCAGCAGAGGCTTCTCCAGGCAGGCCAACAAAGAATACAACCAGCGACCCTATGATAAACAAACAGGTCAAACTACTTTAAAAGGATTCAGTAAATACATAATTACCAGACATTAGGACTGCAGTGTGATTGTAGACTTGTGAAAGGCTGGCAAGCAACTGTAAAATGCGGAGTGACTTAATAAACAACACTCACCAACTGAGGAACAAACTCGTGTTCTTCAAACCAACTGATCAGAATCTCCATCACCATCAGCACTGTGGACTGAAACAGGCACATAATGATCAGACTGCTGAACTGGTTTAGAGTGTGACTGTGATGTCTAAATGAGAAGGCTGTTTACCTGGTTCAGCCTGCTCACTATGCTTAGGAAGGGAGGGAAGCCCACCTGAATGCAGACACATGACAGAGAAGCAACAGTTATTGCTGGAATCAGTTTAGGTTTGACACTGTTGTGGAACAACTTGCAGACTGCAGTCTAGTATTTCACTTTAAAGTGACCGTTGACTTTTTGTCTGCTGATTACAATCTTGCAGGACCATTACCATCATTTTCCTCACACAAACACATTTTAATACAACCTTGCTATAGTCCAGTGCTGGCTCTGGTTCAGCATCTGTGTGACAGGACGAAGTCCCCAGATAGACCGTCTCTCCTAAACAAAACCTCTTCCAGCCCTCCTCATCTGTAAGCTTTGGCTGTGGGACACACACACAAAAAAAATTTGATATTATAACAAGCAAAATCTTTTTGCCTCTGGTCTTATATATATATATATATCGATATCAACTCTGCAGTGATTAGAATGCGATTCTGCTTAAACACTGAAACCAATGCCCTCAAGGTGAAATTATTGAATGAACCGTGTGACCATGCAGTCTCCTCACCATCAGCACGTTGTCGTCCAGAGTCTGTCTGCTCCAGTGTTTCCTGTTCTTTGTGATGCTCTGAAAGCAAAAAGCAGAACCCACAATCCAGAGGTTGTCTTTACAGAACGGCACTCTGCCCTTTTCAACAAACACTTGAGAAAAGAAAGTTGTTTTTCTGTGTTTTCTTTTACCTGTCTGACATCGGAGAAGTGACTGACTTGCTGCTGCTGCCAATGGAGACTGGGGGAGAAACCCACTGGAGCAACATGACAGCCTGCCACCTGCAACACACAACACACAGTTACCAGACAACTGAAGGAATACTTAAAGAAGTAGAATATGGTACATTTTTCTCATCCCATCTAATATCATACATGCTAATACTGAGTATGTGTTCCCCAGTAGCTCATTCAATACTTCATGTAAACAGCGGGACTACTAATAAAACTGATTTGATTTATATTTCTCGAAACAAAATACTGCTTCAGTTATTGTACCTTTATTTTAACATACATATGTTTTTTTTATTACCGCACAGCATCCAAGTACAACATTTGCAACCTTTGTAATATCCATCCTACTTTACTTAAATATAATATAAACTCAAATAAACTGTACAAATTACAGGATCAATAAGGTAGATGCTGCACTGTATCTCTATGCAGTGGAGCTTAAATAACATGCATCATTTACTCACAGAGGCATTAACTGTTTGTTTCTTCTTCAGTTTCTTGGGGTCAATCTGAGCAACCACCACCTCCGGACACTGTGATGCCTCCAACCTGACGGACAGACTCACCATTCAAACACATGACGAACTGGCTCAAGTGATGCACTCTACTCACAAAGTAACAGTAAGTACAGTTGAGGAAACAGCACGGAAGCACAAAACAATAGGTATTATAACACTGACTGTCACAGTAAAATTCTCCTTTCTGACTTGATACATTATATTAATTGATACTACTAACAGTATATTGACAGTACTTCCGTTGACAGCAGCAGTGTAGTACAGTGTACTCCCAACAGACTCTGTCCAAACGGGAAAAGGGGGAGTTTAAGTTTAAGTTTAAGAGTTAGGTAAGTTTAAGGTGCACTTACTGGACTTGTCGGAGGTATTCCCGGGGGTTTCTCGGCGGTTCATTGAGGTCCAGGTCCTCTGCACTGGGTCCAAACTCAACGGGCAGCAGCCTCGGCATTAACTCCTCCACGTCCGACTTCATTTTCTATCAACTGCGAGCTGAGTTCTGTCCGAACGTATGAGGTTCAATGTTGCCAAGCACGAACGAAGCGCCGACTTACAACTACAAATCCCATGTGGTGGCCAAAACAATGAAATGATCACAGGTGGTGAAACTACTCACAAACTAGGCAGCCATATTGGATCGTCAACGCGGAGGGATGACGTTGTCTTTGTGCGCGGCGTTGGTTGCCATGGTAATAAACGCCAGCGGTGTTGTCAGCTTTTTAGGGAAAGGGCGAAGTCCACAAAATGTCCACGTTTTAGGATGGCAAAACATTCATCTGCCGCCAAGTTTGTTTGTTTATTTCACAGTGATTTTCTCCCACGAATATTAAACTATATAATAAAATAAAAACCTTTGACCAGTGACCAGATAATATTTTGTATTGCAAGCAGCTCTAGGATGTTAATAATTAGCGTATCCTCATGCTGGCCTTCTATCTTATCTCAGCTCTCTCATTTAGTATTGAGCCTTCATGACAGCAACAGCTTAGAGGCAATGTCCACTTGCCAGCACAACTGGCCGGAGTTATTTCCCCTCATTATGGACATTTCTTCCTGATACACTGCTGTTTTAACAACAATAATGGCTGTTTCGCTGGCTTACAAAATCCTGTGGGGTACATGCATGGTTTTTGTGATTTTACCTCATTTAAATCTGGGATTGTTGTCTGACTACAAGATCTGTGGAGATTCTGAGTGTGAAAGTAAGTCCTACACTAGTAATTCTAATTTATGATATCTACTTAATATGTAATATGTAAATCAGTTGAAAAAACTTTCTTAATGATGATTTTTTTAATCTACATTAAATCCATGCATCCATTTTTTATTTGAATCACCTCTTTGTGTCTGTCTCTTGCTGTCTGTGTGCAGGCCTGATGAGCAGAGTGCAGGCCATCAAAGACCACCATGCAAAAGACTGCCGTTTCCTGAGCTTTAGACGAGGAGACACCATCTTCGTTTACCACAAATTGACCGGAAAGAGGGAAGACCTCTGGGCTGGAAGTGTGAGTCCGATATCTCCCTCAACTTCTAACTCACCCAACTCAAACAATCGCCTCACCTCAGGTTCTAGGATAAAGAGATTAGTCTTGATTATAATACAGACTTCTCAGATTCTCAGCACTGATTGGCTCAGTTATGTTAACGCTGTACCTGATAGACGCAATTGTCTGTGAGAGCACTCCAATTCACTTGTATAATTATGTACTATAGCAGACAGAATGAGTGAAACTGCTTTGAGTGGCTTTTGTCTTAAGCAAATACTAACCTGAACCTTCTTTTTTAACAGAGGAGTGTCTAAAACAAATGTAAACCTGAATACACAAAAATGCTTGTTAGGACTGAGGCGAAACATATGAAATGAGTTGGATGGACTGTAAATAGTTCTGCTGTCTGCTGAATATGGGACATTGTCAGTACAATGAAGTACAAGATTAGAGTTAAATCTGACATCAAAACCTTTGTGAGGAAAATGTGTGCAGAAATAAAAGTCAACAAAACATCGCTGTGTGTTTTATATTCACATAAGCTTACATATACAGCAGAGACAGACGATTGGTATAAGGTTAAGACAGAAATGATACAAAAGCCAGACTGCAGAGTAATCTTTTGAAAGCCATATATTGCAATCTAAAGTATCCTATTGAATTCTAAGAGTTTTTATACAATGTCTTTGTGTGCTATGGGGTAATCAGCTTCACAGTGAGTCTGGTTTCTGACATCACTTAACTATAATTTATTCTAAGTGACACTGATAAGGACTGTAAAATGAAATTTAATTTGCCTTCTTTGTTTCTCTCCTCTTGATCATTGTGCGCTCCTTCCTTCAGTTCTTACACAATGCTGCTGTGGCTTTACAGAACTATGATTGTTGCTTCCTTTTTTCTTTCAGATTGACAAACAGTTTGGTTATTTCCCAAAGGATGCTGTGAAAGAGGAGCAGGTTCATGCAACTATGGAGAAAGTAGTGGAAACGCAGGTAAACAAGCTTTGATTTCAGTAGATAAACATACTTACTTACTTACAATACTACTTTCATAATAACTATAACAGATAATTGTAAAGAAATATAATAAATAATTAGTAAACTGGTATATTATGAGTATGAATAAGCCCTCCTTTCCTCTCTTCATTCAGAAATCAGATTTTTTCTGTATGGATGAGTCTGGTTTTCCCATTGACACCAGTCATCTGGACAGTGATGATGATGATGATGATGATGATGATGATGATGATGATGATGATGATGATGACAATGAGAAAATCAAAAACCAGGAGTCAGAAATCACCCAAACCACAGATGACACATACGCTGAAAGTCCTTCAACACCTCCAGATGTCTCTACAGAACCTCCAGCCTCAACCCAGGACGCTGCTGGCACACCGACAGAAGAGGACGAAAGCAAAAATGGCGGTGATGCTGCTGCCGGGACTCACGAGGAAGCACAGGAGACTCCGAATGAACAAGGTGGGTCTGCTTCCTCTCCTTGGTTCAGTTCCTCAGTGACAGGATGGTTAGGTCTGGATGCAGAGGAAGAACCTGGCATTTTGGCTGACGGAGAGAAAAAAGACGAGACACATGAGACACAGGCTTCTCTTGCTTCTTCGGTGACAGGGTGGCTTGGGTTGGGAGGAGAGGGGAAACCGGATGATGCTGTGATAAGTAAAGAAGAAGAAAGAGAAACCGATGATTCTTTCACTTCAACCATGACTGGGTGGCTTGGCTTCGGAGGAGAGAAAAAAACAGACACCGCAGAAAAAGAGCAAGATGAAGAAAGAGAAAGCGATAAAGAACAGGAACCAGCAGAGACATTCAGGAGTAGGAGGATGTCTCTGGACCTAGAAGGTAGCCAATTACACGAAGAAGAGAAGACAGACATGGGGACACTGGATTGGCTAGGAAACGGACTGTCAAGCACACTGGGGTTCGGCCGGACCAATCAAGAGTCAGAGCACGAGACAACAACTGAAGGAGAGGTAGATGAGACAACCCAGGAGGAGGAAGACCAGCCAGCATCTAGTTCTTGGTTTGATATGGGGATCGGGGACATTTTAGGCTTCAGTAAAGACAAGAGTGAAGTTGATGAGAGTACAGGAAGTGGTGTTAAGGAGACAGAAGAGGATGGAACCTTAGAGCAGGCAACAGGTTCAGAGAATGTGGATCAGTCACAACCTGCATGGACAGAGGAGGTAAGGACAGAAAGTAGCAATAAAGCAAAGGTGGAAGAAACTCCAAAAGACCAAAAAACCCCATCAGAGACAGAGACAATGCCTGGCACCACAGAGCCACTCACTGCTGACAGTGATGACAATGATATTGGTACTTCAGACATTAGCAAGGATAGTGTCTTACCTGAAGATGCAGAATCTAAGGTCGATAAAAAATATATTTCTCCTCAGGCCAAGTTAGGGGAGAAGTCTCAGGCTGCAGGTGGAATGTCTTCCACGCTCGACAGCTTTTTTCAAATAGGCAGTGAGGAAGAAGAGCAGGATAATGTTCTAGATGATGACAACAAAGAGACAACAGTGCTAGATAGGGAAACAGTTGAAGAAATGGAGGGTAAAGATCACCAGGTGCTCACATCAATAGAAAATGAGGGTGAGGATGACAACAGAGAGATAGGAGAAGAAGAAATGCAAACCACAAGCGAGACTGATCAGGATTTTTTGGCACAGTCTGACATCCACTTAGGTTCCAACTCCAGTTCTGTGGATTTAAATTCAAACTCCACGGGACTATCTATAGGTGAGGAGGATAAAACAGAGGACGTGGTTGAGGAGAAGGCAGAGAGCCCAAATCAGATTGATACCACGGAAGAATCCACAGATCCATCCGTTAAAACTGGCACCGGTAGTGATTATCAGGAAGGTGAAGGGAATAATGCAGCGGCTCAGAATGATGACTCAGCAGAATACAGTCATGTCAGTGGTGGCGCACAAGAGAACAGTGGAGAGAGTCAGCCTTTCTTATCATCAGGCTCAGCCGAGGAGAGAAATGAACCCGTCTCCAGTGAGGATGACACTTTACCTGCTCACAGTGATGTTGCTCATTCAGATTCACTGGCTATAGTTGATAATAACACAGAAGCAGACACACATCAGGGTGAGTTAGAAGAGGAGGGAGAGGGGCATTGTGTTGGGGGCAGCTCTCAGGAGTTTGGATCATCCCATTCTACTAACAGACGTACACAAACTATGACTGAAAATGCACCAGAATTGGAGAGAAAAATGTCTCCCACTAGTGAGAGCACAACACAGATGGACAATGCAGACTCTGTGTCCCCGCATACTCAACAACGTGATGGTGACGCACATGTGCTGAAGAAACCTGTTAATGAAACTGAGAAGGATACAGAGACTGAGACTGAGAGAGTGGAGGAGTCAAAGGAAGAGGAAAAGCAGGGGGAGATAGAAGAGTTAAAGGTAGAGGAGAAACAGGACGAGTTAAAGGAGGTGGACGAGTTAAAGGAAGAAGAGAAGCAGCGGGAAGTGAAGGACATAAAGGGAGAGAGGAAACAAGAGGAGGTGGAGGACTTAAGGGAGGAGAAGAAGCAGGAAGAAATAGAAGAGCTAAAGAAGGACGAAAAACAGGAGGCGTTGAGGGAGTTAAAGGAGAAGGAAAAGCAGGGGGAGGGAGAGGAGTTAAAGGGAGAGGAGAAAAGGGAAGAGTTAAAGGAGGAAAATCAGAATGAGGTAGAAGAGTTAATGGAAGAGAGTAAACAGGAGGAGGTGAAGGACTTAAGAGTGGAGGAGAAGCCGAAGGAGATAGAAGAGTTAAAGAAGGAGGAAAAGCAGGTGGCGGGGGAGCAATTAAAGGTGGAGGTAAAAGAAGAGGACAACAAGGAGAAGGCGAGGGAGTTAGAGGAGGAGGAAAAGCAGGGGGACGGAGAGATGTTAAAGGGAGAGGAGAAAAGGAAAGAGTTAAAGGAGAAAAGGCAGGATGAGGTAGAAGAGTTAATGGAAGAGAGGAAACAGGAGGAGGTAGAAGAGTTAAAGAAGGAGGAAAAGCAGGAGGCGGGGGAGCAATTAAAGGTGGAGGTGAAAGAAGAGGACAACAAGGAGGAGGTGAGGGAGTTAGAGGAAGGAGAAAAGCAAGGGGAGGGAGTGGCAGGTAAGGGAGAGGAGAAACGGGAGGAAGTGAATGAGGTAAAAGAAGAGGAGAAGCAGCAGCAGATAGACATTGACAGGCCAGAGTCAGAAACATCCACACAGGCTGAAAATAGACAGACCGAAAACCCACAGATAGAAGAAGAGAAGACACTGGAGGAAAACACACAACAGGAGGAGGCTGAGGAGAATGTGCAGGGGGAGAGGAGGGACAAAGAAGGAGAGGGGAGCCTGAAATGTCCAAATGAGCTTTGTCCTCAAGCCAGCGCAGATGGGTTTGTGATGGACAGAGATGGAAACGATTCTGCGAACAGACTGAACTCATTAGAGACAGGAGAGCAAAATCATATGGCCGATAATGATCAGACATTAGCAGACGGGCGGGATGTGGACAGAGATCAGGACAGTAAACAGGAGGAAGAAAAAAGAAATAATGATGCTGAGGCTGATGAGGGGAAAAACGAGCAGGATGAGAAAAAACACACAGAATCAAATTTAACTGGCGATGAAGACATCAAAAGCAACAATGCTAACTCTAATCTTAGTCCTCTGGGAGTTAATCAGAGTGGGAAATACACTGATAATGATCTGCTGTATTCAGGTGAGACTGGCCAAAATAGCCTTCCCAGTCACATTTTACTTGCCCAGACAACTGAGAAGAAAGAAGATGATCAACTGAATTCCAGTGAGGCAGAAAACACAGACCCTTCCGACGACCAAGTGCTCCATCAGGGAGATGAAACTAAGCCCGAAGTCACTGAAACACGCAGCAATGGGGTTTCCACTGAGAAGAAAACAGAGCAAATAAACTCTGATGATAGTACAGTGGAGTTCAGGGCAGAGGGAGAAACGGGAATTTCAGTTTCATCCAGTGACCCCGTTGAAAGTCAGGCTGTGATATCTGAACATGCTGTTCCACACGTGTCTGATGGTCAGAATAAAGGGACAGCAGAGGCTGAAAGTGGAGGAGCATTTGGCCTTTTCAAAAACACCTTTAGCTTTCTCAGCCAGCCGACTGCCACAGAATCCACAGAATCTGCCCCGACTTTAGATTCTAACACAGGCGACACATCTGAGGCACAAGCCTCTCTGACCCCCGAACAAGAACTGGATTCCACTACAGATTCAAGTCGGGTTCATGTTGAAGATTTGCATGCAGACTCTCCCATCACCCTGTCGCAACAGCAGCCTTCTCCTCCTCCCTTCGTCCAGACATCCTCGACTCCGTCCCCGACTCAGACCCATTCTCAGCCCAGTTCTCTGTCTCCAAACACAGGAAGTCCCCTCCAAACACAAACCCTCTCCAAACATTACAAGAACCTCCTCGCCCACATGAGCGAGGATGAGATGACTCTTTTGATTGAGCTCTTTGGGCGGCACAAGCTGCAGTTTTTGGATTACATTTTAGGAAGCTCTGAAACCATGACCGATGACCCCGATGATGATGAGTCTATATTGTCGGATATAGAAAGACTTCTGCATTACCACAGGGAGACACTGGTTGCTCCTAGCATGAGGCTCGTGGATGCACCACATGAGGACAAAGAAAAGACCAAGACGCTCATCGCACTTCAGAAGCTAGAAATGCTGCTGGCGAGAGTGAGAGAGACTTTCAACACAGGGAAATCAGACCTCACTAACACAAACCGTCAAGGTATTTTTGTCTACAAGGCCTCAAAGATCATGGCTGATATTATTGATACTATAACTTAATTTAATAATTTAATCTTAGTATAAGTTTGACTTGCAATGATCTCAATCAGAGTGCATGTGTTTCCCTGTTAAATACAGCTGAGGCCAGCTGTGTCGGTGATTCCTGTTCAGCTCACAGTGGAGATAAGAAAATGGCCACTGAGGCAGAGTCAAGTAAGATGGGAGATTCCTCTGGAGGCCTGGATAAGTACGTCCAGAGAGATGAACGGATGGATGAATTGAAAGGTGGACAACCGAATAGTGGAGGCACAGAAAAAGAGAGGGTAACTGAGGAGGAGAAAACAGGAGAGAAGGAAACAAGAGGCATAGAGAGAGCTCATGTTCAGCCAGGGCCACCACAGCCACTGGAAGGTATGGATGACTCAAGTATGCCTTAATCAAGAGGGATTCAAAGATGATTAAAAGATATTAATATATGAGAAGGAGCGCTACTCGACCTGCTGCATCCTCATTCCTTCAACACACAAGCTCACAACCTGGAACATTATGGCAGGGCCAGAACATTACTTATATTTTAATACACTTAAACAAAGATAAAAGCTTTGTGTTGATCTCAAATAATGCTGTATTACCAATATCATTGTGACAAAGGAGGAACGCTTACATTTTAAATCCCATTATGTTTGCAACTCCAGCTCCAGGGGTAATGAAGCAGATTCTGGACTTTGTTCATCAGACTGCTGAAGACTCAACCACTCATGTCCATGCAACAACGGAACTTCTCATATGGCTGACTTTACAGGTAAGATACCCATGTGAGCGAAACATAGATTAAATGATCACTAAATGATCCAAACCATAAGTGTATCTTTTTAACTACACAGCTACAACACATTTAGTTTTTTCTTTAATCTTCATAATCTTTCAGGTTTCTTCCCAATACCTTTATATACAGTGTACAGAGACAACCACTGTGTTTCAGAGGGGTGTTTCATTATTTCACATTGATTGAAAATCAATTGAAATCCTAACAGAAAATACTTTGAACACCATTCAGAATATAAAACAATCACAAGACCAAATGTAAAAAAACACCAGTTTATAAAACTGAGGATATTATTTCAGTTTTCTTCAATCACAGCATTTTCATAGATATGATGACTGAGGTAAAGCAGGGTTTCATTTTTTTACTCATAAATTTTGTCTGACCCAGTTTTAAACATGTTTTGTCAAGTAACTTAAAGGTCCACAGGCTACTTTGGATCATTTTGTACAAGGAATCTTTGGTTGGAGATAGGATATATCTCAGGACCCCCTGACCCACCTTCCACACAGGTGTTCCTCTAGTGTCTACACTGTGGAGTCTGGTTCTTTAAGACTCTGACTGAACTTGTGGCATGTTGATCTGACTGTCCCTCTGGCATTCAGCTTTGCCTTCCTCTCAGCTGTCAAGCGAGGTTGGCTCCCTCAACATCACTCACATTCCTCAGTGCTTGTGGATCTATAACACACGCTGATCCAGCTGGCAATCCACCTGCTTTAAAGGCAAATTGTTTCAAATGTTTTGAGAGGGCAAGTGATTCTCTAGTTTCAAATGGACCAAACTGAGGCCAGTGTGGTGAGTACCTTTTGAAACATTTGGTGAAAGTTATACGTCGGACTGAGTCAAGTCTTCACCTGTGTCCTACTTTAGCAGCTTGTTATTAGCCAGAGGCCGTAACTCAACACGAGTGACACATGGTCGCACGGTGCTCCAGAGTGATGGCTTTTGTGTAAAAACATACTTATGTATGAGGTTTGAAAAGACTTATATTAGTTATTCAGGAGATAATCGAAGACGACAATGAGAATACGCCATTAAATGTATTGACACCTGTTTCTGTTGGTGTCACTGTGAAAGTACTCCGATGTGCCAGTGTGGCATTTTACAATTGGTGACGTTGCGAGTGAACCATTTGTGCGGGCGGGGGTGTAATTATATCTACATGAGCCTATGAGTGCTTAAAAATCAAATTCTATTTATTTCTGAATTATTCATATATATTATGCTTATTGTGTGATCAACTTCCTAAGTAATAGCAGTGTAGCAAAATATTTACGAACAGTTTGTAGAGAGAATTCAACATCCGAGCTCCCCCTACGACGTGTGAAGTCACGTGGTCCACTCTTGAGCGTCGGTGTTGTGAATAGGATGTGAAATCGCCGCTTACCCGGTTGATGGCTTCAGTTTCTGCTCATCAGTGTCAGTTTAAATGAAAGATATCGCTAAAATAATAACCGAATGAACGAATTCGGAAATGGCGGAACACACGACGAGCGACCAGTTGGCGAGCGAAGCGGTCGACTTTCAGGCGACGGCAGAGGCTTACTACAGTATCGCCGTGGAGAAAGTGAAGGATGTACGTTATGTGGCAGGTTTCGTTAGCATTTCCTAACTAGCCGTCACAGCTGACACAACGTAGCGGAGTGTCAAGCAGCCGAGAACAGCTCTTAGTATTAATATTATTGCTGCGTATTTGAATTTTGTACAGCTCATGCTTGAATACATGTGTGTCCTACCAGTGCTGTTTACCCGCTGCCAAGATTACACTGAGGTTTTATGTTGCTTTTTGAGATGTGTTTGTCATTTTTCACAGAGTTAGCTAGTAATGGTTAGCTAGCCAATTGATAGTAACCTCAGTGTGTCAGATCATGTGGTGTTGTGCCTTCCAGATGTTTCTATTCTTTTAGCTAAAATATGCTTGTGTTTTTGAAATGTCCTCGTAGCAGATACATATGCTACCTACTCTGTACTATCACACAGTTTGTGAAACAGCTGTGTATTAAACTGTTATGGCTGAGTAGTCAAGGCTACTACTACTTGCAATATCGACTAACTCACATTTGTTATATATACACATTCAGTAGGCGATTGTTAAAACATTACAACCACTTGAGGGTGAAATTAGAAAGCTGTTTGGTTCCTTGTGCAATTGTAAGACAGCTGGTGGTCTCTTATTCCTTTATTAGAAGTATGTAGGCCAGCCATGTAGTACTAAGGAGCTGATCATGACGTCCACAATGAGTATTCCTTCCTCCTTTGTCTATAATCCACAAAGTTAAATAGAGTAAACCTAATGTTGACTTACAAGGGTCACACACCTCTTTTTAAAGATGCTCATTAAAACCAGATCCTAAAATAAACAGCTCCTTCCTCTTGGTTCAGGTTGTATCATCACTGCCTGACGACATCAGACCCGGGCCGGACCTGTACGGGGTGCCATGGGAACCAGTCCTCTTCTCCAGTCTGGTGGGGCTGGTGACAGTGCTTTTGTTCACTTGTAGATGTTACAGCTCTGTGAGTACACAGCCATGTATATACACATCAACATCACAAAGATTTTAGCAGAAATTTGTAGTGGCGCTGTTGATTCAAAGATAGACACAAACAGACCACAATCGGCCCATTTATCAACAGATTAATCCCTTTTTATGACTACTTGTTCATCATCGTTTTCTTCTTATTTCTTACAGGTCAAAAGCAGAATGTATCGAAGTAAGTTCTCAGTACTGATTCCTTGATGTGACATTTTTATGATCTGAACACTGCCAATTTAACCTCTCTGCACACTGTATATGTTTTCAGGTAGAGAGCGGTGGATGGCAGAGCAGGTTGCACAGCTGCTGGATGAAAAGTGTAAAGTCCTTGAGACTCTCAGCAAATGTCAACAAGAGGTTGGTTCTGGTGCCAATGCTGACTGACACACAACACTGGTTGTTTTTAACTGAACTCCATGGTGTGAAAAAAGTCTGAATTAGAAGTTGCATGTTGTCTGACGTGTGATAAAAAAGGAGTAACACTCTCATTACAAAGAGATTGCAGACCATAATGAACACAAGTTTAAATCCTGATAAAATGCTTTTTAGTCATCACCATCATGAGTCATGCCCACATTTGCTGACATTTATTTCCTCATTTTGTGTCATTTGCAGCATGATGACCTGGAGAGTTCACTGAGGGACAGTGGTGTCTTGGCCCAAACCCAAAAGACAGAACATCTGGAGGTAAGGCAAAGAGAAAAAAACGTGAGATTAAGAAATCTCTAACTATTTGGAAACAAAACCACACTGTTGAACTACAGACTTCTGTATAATGTTTTGCTAGAAGTCAGTTGTTTATTAGATGTAACTTCAGTTAATTGCTTCTTAAATCATTGGACTGTTTTAAATGGTTTACCTAATAAAGCAGATTTTTTTAAGATATTTTAATGTGTGTGCATTTTCCCCAAATTGGCTAATGTCATTGAAATGTAATCTGCAATAACTTTTGAGTCATGTTTCTGTCCATACTTCTGTCAGATACTTCACTGTGTTCACCAGCTAGTTGCTAAGTGTGTCTGTCTGCTTTTTGGTGCTGAGTAAGAAGTATACTGTAGATTTTTAGGGCTTTTACACTGAAAACAGCTGCCTGTGGGCTGGGCAACTAAACAGTGAGTTGAAACTCACTATGAAGCTTTGTTAAGCTGAGGGGAAGCTGCAGATTCAGTTGAGAATTTTCTTAAGGTCCATCACTACATGCGACCACTTCTACATTGTCATTTGATATATTATTATAAAAATATTCTATATACCTGCTTTTAAGGTCTTAAATTTGTTTTGCTGCTTCACCAATTTAGAATAATGATTAATCACACCTTGGCACTGTGGCTCTTCATGTTCACTCCACACTCTGTTACTCTTTTGCTTTCACTTGAAGGAGTTTTCTAAACACATCATGTTTTTCTGTTCTTCCAGAGCAAAGCCAGACAGCTGGGACAAGCTAAAAAGGAGCTGGAGAGGGATCTTGAACAACTGAAAGATCAACTGGAACAGCAGAGAGAACATAGGATAGAGCAAGAAAGAAGGGTAGGAGCACACACTACTATAGCAACTACAACACCAAACTGGCAAAGTCTAGTTGACTGCATCCACAGTTATCATTCAGGACTCACATTTGAATAGGAACGAGAATCCATTGCAATAGTGTGACATTGATAGAGTGGATTATTTTTTTCCTTCCAGATAGCAGTGCTTGAAGAGGGCATGAAAACTTTTGAAGAAGAATCTAAAGACCTCCAGTCACAGGACGAGCAGGTGCAGTACTCTCATCTTTGAACTTCACAACAAATTCCTCTCCTCTCTTCCTTTATGCTTCATCTTTTCCCTCCACGTTGTCACTGTCTGTCTGTCTCTAGGCACAAACCACTCTGAAAGTGTACAGCATGAACAGTGACAGACTACAGAGGAATCTGGAAACGGCTGGAGAGGAGAACACTCTGCTAAAAGAGAGCAATGCTCAGGTGGGATGTTGTACACACACACACACACACATTACACACAGACAATTACTGTACATTGTAGCATGCAAGGGGGTTTTGCTTTTGCATGATTGAAATGAAAGTTTTGAAGTACTGCTTAGCCAGTTCCATCCAGTCTGTCGGATCACATATGTGAACGCTTTGCATCACATGTACACAGAATTGTTAATAGTACCATCTTTTCTTGGCATATTTGTAACTGTGTCCCTGCCCTTTCCACCTCTATTCCCCCTTATTCCTTGCACCATCATTTCATCTCTCTGTCCTTCTCTTTCTCTCTCAGTTGAGGCAGCAGGTGGAGGGATGGGCGGAAAGAGTTAGTGAATTGGAGGCAGAGATCAGCAGGTGTGAGGTCGCCCACAGCGAGATGCTGCAGGATGTGGCCAACAAGGATGAGCGTATAATGGTAATAATTCTAGTATATTGCAACTAGTTACTGTATATTATACCCTGGGTTTTCTAATTAAAGACTGAGCTTCAAATAATGGACATGTCTTTGAGAACTACCACAGAAGAAGACTGCAAACTGATGTGAAAAGATCAACCTTAGTTAAAACCTTCATTTCTTTATGTTGTTGGAAATGGGTTTGATACCACATATTTGTGTCGTTCCAGTCCTTGACAGATCGGCTGCTAAGGATGAAAGCTTGGGATTCAGACCTGGAGGAAGAGGAAGGTGAGGGAGGAGAGAAGGAGTCGTCCAATAGGGACAGCCGGGAGAGGAGAGAATGGAAGAGGAGACGGAGTGCAAACGCAACACCATCTCCAGAAAGTCCAGAAACTTATCTATGCTGCTAAGGTAGGATTATGAACACAAGCACACAGTTTTAAAGCATTTGATGTAGGCTACTGCTAAGAGTGGAGCAGCATGTTAAGGATGTTTGGAAACTGCCTGTAGAATTCAAAACTAGGTTAAGAGTCTCTGGATGTACACGTTACTGAATGCCAACTAATGTGCTGTGTTTTTGTGCAGCTGAATGCAGACCTCAAATCAGTCGATGAAGACAAGGACAGAGCATTTGCCAAACTGAATGATGAAGTCAAAGCTAAAGAAGACTTGCATTGTGAGTCAACTGTACACCAATGTCTTTTTTCCCCAAAGTTTTCAAGGTTGTAAGATACAGAACATATAAGTCAGACAAAGTTAGAATTTACACTGGCGACAGAGAAACAGTTCTAACAAGTGTAGAGACTAGACATATTACCGATTTAATGTTTTTTGAATCTATGTGCCACTATGTGTGTGTTTTTTGTTTTCCCCTGTAGTGAGCATTAAGGAGCTGGAGAAGGAGAAATTATCTCTGCAGTCAGACTCTGAGCACTACTCAGATCAGGTAGCTGACCCCAACTATGTATTATTGTGATGTTTTATTATATTGTAGTTCCACTTCCATTTGCTTTGGATTAATTCCTTTTATTCATGTGTTCAGGTCCAAAGACTACAACAGAAACTCCACATTATGACAGAAATGTACCAGGAGAATGAGCTCAAGCTGCACAGGTATAGACACACACACACATACATTTAAGGAGAAGTAGCAAGTGCGAATGCAAAGCCTGACTGATGAACATATGTGTTTGCAGGCTGCTCACAGTGGAGGAGAAAGAGCGCCTGCAGAAAGAAGAGAAGTTAAATAAAGCGGACAAAAACATTGCGTTGGCCATGGAAGAACTCAACAACTATAGGTAGCTACTTCCTCAAAGTGTTACCAAATACATTTGTGACATTTATCCTCGCCATCCACAGAAACACAGTCTCACCTGTACATCCACTTTTTCTTCAGACAACGAGCAGAGGAGATGGAGGAAGAGCTGGACAAGACCAAACAGTCTTACCAGACTCAAATATCAGCACACGAGAAGAAGGCTCACAATAACTGGGTGAGTAAAAGTCCACTTTTGTTTACAGCCAAATACATTATACATTACATACATTGTTGGTGTGGCTGTAGTGGTTGGACCACCATGATGATGACTGTATCTATGTATGTGTTGTACGTGGTGTTGTATGATGTGTTACGTTACTGATCTGGGCTTGATTTTCCAGCTGGCAGCCCGAGCAGCAGAGAGAGAGCTAGCAGACATCAGGAGAGAGAACGCCCTCTTCAGACAGAAGTAAGCATACAGTAACTGAAGTTAAACGTCATGGCATTTCTATCATTTATGCTGCTAGGGGGTCTCTCACATCAAAACAATAACAAAAGACAAAGTTTGATGACATTGGGAAGTAGTGTGGGATCATGGGAGTTGTTGTCTTCACCAGCATTGTAGTCACTGCAGTCAGCTTCTCACGGTTAGGAATCCTTTAGTCTTCATCATTCAGGAGGTTTCTGTCTGGAGCCGAATGATCTGCAGAGGTCTCCTCCTCCTCTGAAACAAACGGACCCACTGATTTAAACTGATACAACACTGATAAAACTAGTTTAATCTTAAAAGTCAGTGTTTCTCAAACACTGTTTGGCTGACAAAGGACGTCCTGGAGGGCCTGCAAGCTGAGCTGCTGCTAACGTTTGCTCAGCTTGTTTAACTTAACATCCAGACATCTGATGGCTTAAATCCTTCAAACTGCTTAAAAAATCTAAAAATGTGTCAGAAAAATGTGGCATAAAACTGAATAAAAAGTTAATTTATGAGAGCTTTTGGCAGACAACCACAATGAATGCACAAATGTGACATGGTGCCAATGCGTTAGTGGTGAAACGCAGTTACCTGAAAAGAATTACGTATTTTTCTGGGTTTGACCATGGTTAGAAACATTTGGAATAATGTAAGTACACAACTTAGCAAATATTAGAACACAAGTCTAGTGTGTTTAGACATTTTAATGTGGACATTTTATTTATTTTATATCTTCAAAACAAAACAAGGTTTAGGGTGTACTCATTTTTAGGAGCACTCAAAAATTGCCCCTGGCTCATGAAACCAACTGTGGTACAACTTCAAAAAATATACTGTATTCTGAATTTCATAGAAATCAGTTGTTTGTTTTTTTTCGATTTGTTTATTTCATATTTATATACTGCATACATTACAAAGTCAGGTCCAGAAAATGTTTGTCATATATTGACTAGGTGTGTTTGTTTACAGGCTGACAGACACGCAGTTTAAACTAGACGCCCTCGACAAAGATCCCTACGCCTTGGACAGCCTGGCTAGACCACTGCCTTTCAGAGGTTAGCACACACATACAAACCACACACGCATTACTGAGCTCACATTGTATCCCCTAGCTAATAGACGCCAGCCGGGAAGTGCAGTAGGCTACAGAGTTCCTCGACTTTGACACTCACCAAACTGTCCTTCACCTCCAGCTGAAAGGTCACCATACGGCCCGTCTCCTCTGGGTCGACCTGCATCTGAAACCAGAGCTTTTCTGTCTCCTCCCACATTAATGGATGGACCGCCTGCTAGACTGTCTCCCAGAGGTACACACACACACAGAAAAGCATAAATATAGTGTTCCCAATTTACATTCTTATAGTTACATATACATTCTTGTCATATCTTACAGTGGTGAAGTTGCAAGTTGAGTTAGTTAAAGTATAGCTTTTATAAATGAGGTTTTGCTGATTGGAATTACACTTTCTACACTTACTTTCATCTTATTTTACATACAGTACATTTTCAGTGTCACAAAGTCATCACAATAAACACTTGCAGCATGTTGGAGATTACCAGCTGGCTGTAGCATGATCAGCTGTAGATGCTTAAATATGTGTAGTAGCATGGTCTGTATGCTGGCATGCTGTTGGTGCTCTGGAGAGTCCATGGAAAACACTTCCTCTTTGTCTCTCTCTTGCATTCACACTCATTCTGGTCCAACGGTCTGATATTTCTTCTTTGGCCGATTGGTTCTGCTTGTTCCCTTCCCTCTTTGTCTCCCCTTTTCCCTCATTTTCTCTCCCTTCAACACCTCATTTACCTCTCCTTTCCTACCTCTTTCGCTCCTACTGTCTCTTTCCTCTGGTCCTTTCCTCCACAGTGCCTCGTGGTCCAATGGAGCACCCAGGTGGCCAAGGGGAGATGGAGCGGAGTGGAGGTCCTCATTCAGACAGTGGTTCAATCTCTCCTACATGGGAGAGAGATCGCAGGGGACCCCCACCAGGACCCCCCGGGCCCTTAGGACCTCCAGGTGTGTGTGTGCAAGAGAGACAAAGAGAGAGACAAAGTGAATCAGTAACGTCTGCTGGGTCAACCTGTAGTATTAGAAAGGCCTGGTGATGCTCACACAGACTGACCAGACCTGACCTGCCTCTGAACATATCAAGGATTACGATTTAAAACATATTTAACAGGAATCAGTGTCCTCCCTTTGTTTCCTCAGTTTGATCCAAATCTAAGCAGGTAAGTGCTCAAGAGTTCAAAACTTTTAAAAGGAGCATTTAGCCACTGCTTATGATAACATTTAAACAACTAATTAAAGGAGCTTTTTTTTCCAGTGTTGTAAAAAAAATTACAAATTCTATTCCAGCCAAGGTGACCTCAATAAACAACAACAATTGTGCAGTGCTGACAATGCTAGCACTGACTTATGACTGCACAGATAAAAACAGTTCTCTTCCCGCTGATTCCTGCTCTTGCATATCAAAGTGAGAACCAGCCTTTAGACTGCAGCAAGGAACATTTATTTTTATATCCTCACTCTCACAGGGATTTGCATGTGGCAACGCTGGATTTATGCTGTGTCGTCAACCTTTCACCATCATCATTATTATATTATTTATATAGGTGTAAAAAAATTCAACCTGTGTGGCATCATGTGCACCGTGTGACTCTGTTCAGGCCCAGTACTTACTGCATGTTTTAAAGGCATCGTGGCTGCATACTGTTTGGCAACCCAAAAGGCCCCGTTCACTGTCACTGCACAGATGTAACTTATATTACATTAACCATAGCTCTGTTGTTAGGTTATTAGTTGCACCTGTGCAAGTCAACAGTCACTGTCATACTGTGTGAATATGCATGCTAAATGCATTTTGACAGTGCATGTGTATTGTTTTTAATGCAATTTGAGTTCTGACACTGGAAACTACAGTTCCATCAAATGCCCACATATTTCTTATTTTAAGCTGTCAGACTCCAAACTTGGGACACCTGCACTTACAGTAACTTTCAGTGTCTACAGTCGTTGTGCAATTATTTGTAAATAGAGCAACCTTCAGAAATATCAACATGACACTACAGATTGTAGCTTTATTTGGAGACAGCTGTTGATATAATATTGATAAACCTTCACATGTCTCTCATTGTGTGTCTCTCAGGATATATGTTCCCAGAACCAGGAGGTCCAATGTACAGGAGACCTCCACCTCCTCCTGGACCTCTGGGCCATTTGCCTCCACCTGGCTCCATCCCACCGGGCCCTCTCCATCCCAGAGGTCTCCCCCCTGGGCCCCCTCACCCTTTAGACATGGCAGGTGAGTCAGTGTGATCTCTATAGCTTATTTACTGTAAATAAACTCAAAACACTAACATACATGAACCATCTGCATGGTTGTTCATCTCATCATCTAATTTATTAATTTCAATGCAGATGGCACATACAGAGAAAACAGCCTTGGGCCCGGTGAACAGGAACACAGAGAGGTAAGAGATGTATTTTTGTGAGCAGTATGTGTGTGTTTGGATCTGTAGACCAGCTTCTGTAACATTAACCTTTTTCTGTCTCTGTCACTAGTCTGGTCCTGGTGATAGAAGGACTCCCCCTGAAGCTGATCTAAGGATGGTGGGTGCACCCCCTCCTGGACCCCCAATGGGCCCCATGGACGGCCCCTTTCCTCGTAGAGCCCCTTATGGACCACCACCTCCTGATTTCTACCCTCCCAGGGGACCTGGGGGCCCTCCCATGATGCCTAGTAAGCAGTCACAGCTATCTTCACAACTTTGAAGCACCTTGCTATCTCTAAATGCCATCAGGGTTAACCTAACGCTCTTTTCATCTCCTCCTTCTCCAGTGTGGGCCCCTCCACCCCCAGGGATGATGTTCCCTCCTCGTTTCCCTCCTGGCGGACCTCCTCATCCTCACCACGCTCCTCCCATGCGGCCCCCTCTGCCCGACGGCCTCCCACCTCGTTCCATGGGTCCTCTCCCTCCTCAGCAGTCCCTCCCCTCCCCACCACACAGCCAGTCGCCAGAGGAGCACACACCCTCTCCCGAAGATGTAATTTGAGCCCGGCCAGGGTTTTTTTGAGCCGTGAGATGTTTCTGGTTCAAGTTTAACGCGGTGGTAGATGGATGGTTGGGCAGGCTGCTGTTTTGCATCCTTATATTTTCTTTTACATCTACTTATTAACCAGGAGGATGTATTTAGTGGAAAGTGGGGAAACCATCTGCCTTCCTTAGCCCACTTTGTTGCTATCCGTCTGCCTCTGCTTGGTCTTTCTTCTCTATTCACATCCTCTCTTCTCTCTTTGTCACCTGCCCATCGTCATCCAGCTATATTCCCTGTGAAAGTAGGCCCTGTTGTTGTGGAGTCCCAGTGACAGCGGTTAGGCTCTGTTGTGTACTTTTACAGACAGGAACACAGCAGCTTAATCTGCACGTCTGTGCGTGGGAAGGTTGCCACATGAACCAGAAATAATAGCTTGTTTGCTTGATAATGCCAGAAAGGATTTTAATGGCACTTATGCTGAAATGTGTGCATGTAGAAATGCTGTATGTGTGGTATGTGGCAGAGAATGAGAGTGTTTTACGTAAGTTATCAGTCGACATTTCGTCCCAATGGCACAGAAAGAGAAACTGAAATGATCACAGGCTATCAGGGAAGAAATGCATCTTTTTAGGACTAATACAATATATTTTGTTATACCAACACACTTGGCATTGTCACCATCATTTTGAAAAAATTACCATTTAGCATCTCTGTTGTTGTTGTTGACCTGGATTTGATTACACTTGAATCAGATCACATCAGGTCTTGTCTTGTCTGTGAGTGAACAGAGTTGATTTTAATATTCATCAGAGGTCAAATGAGACAGTTTCTTAAAATCTAATAAAAGTGTATAACTTTATTTCACTGGCATCCCTGTGGGATTTGTAGGACTTTGCCTTGATCAACAACGCTATTATTTCACAGTGCAACGCTTTTGATCGTGTTACAATGCATATGGCCTAGACTTGAAAAAAGTGGCTTATATTAGCCGCTTGTGTTATGCCGAGGTGAGCTGTGACTCATCAGCCACAGAGCGGTGAATAAAAAGTGGACTGACTGGAAGAGAGGCTGCATTCAAAGCCGTAAAGCTGACACCCATGTGAATTATGTAAAAAGTGATTATTAATAGATAAATAAAGACTGTCAAATTGTCCATGTCTCCCTATTTCACTAATGTATAATGTTCAATTTGTTGTGCATGGAGATAACAGCAAACTCAGCAGTGGCCACCAGGAGAAACAGAGCTTTGGAATGTGATTGGAGGTCAGGTTTGGTTTCTTATCAGTGTTTTCTATAATGCTGTACATAGGACATGCAATGGCAGTATTTTAAACATGGTGAACAGAACATTCTGGAAATAAATTTGCAACTCAGTTTGAATTACAAGACTTGTACACTATATCATTTAATATTTTAGATGTAACATCCCTGTTGAATAAGTAATGTTCACCTGCGGCTTTATCACTAGAAATACAAATGATAGACGTGTATTTTTCCCATCTAGTTTCTGTATTGACTTGTATACAGAATATCACCTTACTTTATATTATGTTGTAGTAGGAATTTATTATGGTTAGACTAGAAGCAAAAAAATGTTAACTTTCATAAAAATGTTCCTCTTTTTCATAGCATAGATATTTTAATATGTCAAAGCAGGAAACTCACACATCACATTCTACTTTGGTCATTCAGTTCCAGGATCTTCATATTCTCAATGCTGGCCCACTGACATGGCTTTGGTAACTGACACTCGATATTGATCTGGCTATGTCAGTCATATGTGAAACAGCTGTAGGAATCCTTCTGTTTCACCAGGTACATCCACTTAAATACAAAGGGTATCAGCATACATGGAAATGACCACTGTCACTCTCCCCTTCCATTAAAAGATAAAGCCTGCTGTTGTACACTAGAAGATGGATTTTGCCTACATAATCAAAGCTATTATTTTAAACCAAGAGCAACAAGCAAACTGTGTCTTCAATGAAAGATTAAGGGATTTACCTGAGATTAAACTCAGCTACATTAAGCAGTGTGTGCAAAGATTACATGATAGTTCTGCCTTGGAGGTCCAGCTCAGCCCTTTAGTATTATGCACCTGTAACCTCTTGAATATTTCAGTTTTACTAGGGAGAGTGGAAAAAGCAATGAAGGTGCAAATTGTGCCAGCCAGTGCTTCTAACAGCTTTGAGTGCATCAGTGGGATGATGAGCAATGTGCCATTACATCATCTGTCATTGATGATTTTATACACTCTCCATGCACTCTGTGGTCAGGGTTGTGTGTTAGGGAGATGTAGATAATGTACAGCATGTTCTTCTGAAGGAATGAACGCTCTGAAGTTTGATCAATAGTCATTTTATTAAGAATATTAACATAATATGGTGTTAAATCCACTCAGATCTAGGCAAGTTTAGCCTCTTTGCCAGTTCCTGTATCAGCCACTATTTACTTCCGAGCTGTGAAGCACTCCACAAACGCCGTTAGAGAAAGCTGCTAAATATTTCATTACTAGTGAAGTTATTGGCTACAAAGAGCCAGGACTAAAAGCTATAGAGGCTCCCCTTGTTCTGCCAGTACATTTACTGTAATGTAAAGCATCAATGTGCTCACCTAAGTCTTACTGACAGTGTCTTCACTGCTAAAAATAAGGATAACAAGACACCACCAAGTATTTATAAAACAACTTTTAATTGTAAAAACCACCCACATCATCAACAAAAAAGACACAAATGTACCTGACACATTATTTAACACCAATTGTTATAAAATACAAAAAATATTGATCTGAATTGAACACCCCCACCACCTTAATCTCCCAAAAACTCAGTTTATAAAATCAATATTATTAAATTGCAGTTTGTTCATCTTCCTTTATAAACAGTGGGTTGCATCTGTGATGATTCAATGGCAGCATATGACTGGAAGGACATCATCACAGTAGGCTTTTAAAAAAACTCCTAACAAATCTGCACTCAGGATGGTCATAAAGATGGAAACATTTTCATGTTCATGAGTAATAATGCAAATGTGGATCTTACTTTAAAGACTGAGCGACAGATAGAAGAGGTAGATGTGTAACAGAATGTAACGGTAATACCTGCTGAATAAGAACTGTAAAGGGATAGCTTGGCATTTTCATTTTCCATATGTTGTTTGTATTACATTCAGTTATTAGAAGATCATTTTGTTAATGTGGTTACATTGCATTATTAATATGGGTTTTCAATTGCGGTGATAGAGGGGAGTAAACTGACTTTACTTGATAATTCACATGAAAATAACCAGCCATGTTAACAAAAATATAAGATTTTATAAGAGTTTGGTTAAGTCAGAATGCATAAACACTGCATATGATCTAGATTAGGATCTACTGAAATAACCCGTTTTTGCAATGCTCTTATCATCACTTATCACAAACAGAGCTGGTTATATGAGGAAGTCCACTGGTAGTTTGAAAATCGTGAGTTAAAGCATGTCAGTGTACAGTACAAATCTAATACCTCCTTGAATTTGGCCTTTAGTTGGTTTGGGAAAATGTAAGTACTCCTTTTTGAATGTACTGACTACCTGTAAGTCGGTCTTGGTCACATATGTACACACAATCTTGAAAAATGTTTCCTCATCTTGCATTCTAATTACAGCTATCAGTGAGTTTGTCTCAAACAGAGTCACAGCAACCAACTGCAACTCTTAAAAATATAAGATGCGCCACTGAAACAAGAGAACTGCTTTTCCACTCGAATATGTGCAAAGACGACAGACAAAGACAGATTTGACTAAACTTAACCTTAAAGGGTAGGCACTGTGGAGTTCGGGATGCTCTCTGAAACAACAAAAAAACTGCACAAACTGTCTCATCACCACCAAACTATTCAAAACACCATAACAAAAAGCAATGATTATTCTCATGTAAGACGCTTAAACTGATCCACATAACAGAAGTCTTTCATGGCACAATCGACGAGGTTTATATGTAAACCAGTATTTCCTCATATGTCATTGGAAGCTTTGTCAATATCCTTTCATTAAAAATCTCCTGTGAAACGCCTGTGAAATGAAACCCTCATTGACCGTCACAGAGCATTTAAGGAATGTGACTTCCTGGTTTGAATACTCCATGAAGGAAAACCTTGGAAAAGCTCCAGTATCGAAAAAAATATTCCATTTTAGATTTGCAAAGGCTCTTGAACTGTGGGTGAATACAGTGCTGCGAACAATTGCAAAAACACTCTGTGTAACTGCTTGTTTAACAGAGTCCATATCAAATAACGGAGCTTGCTAGCTGTAAAATACATACAGAACACAAGCAGTCACATGACACTATTTTAGCTATGTGAACACACCAGATTTTCCAGCACCCCCACCAAACACTAGATTCTGTGAGGATTAAAAACATTAATGGAGGTGGTCCGGGACAAGACCCAAGTGGACTGAAAATCCTTTGCCAAAATGTGACACCTACTTTGAAGACAAACTGTTGTGATCTGATGATCACTGAAATGATGTAGCACATTTGTAAACATAATTTTTGTGTCAGCGTTGCATCAGCACACAGTCATTTCTGTATGAATTACATTTAATTGTACGTAATGAATACTGGAATGAGTTTCAGCGGCTTCAGCAGACATCGGCCTTTAAAACCCTATATAGGTTGAACTCTGGATATCCTTAATAGTATATATGGTGTGTGATATTGGAATTTAAACCTTTATTTGGTAATAACTGTCTTTTAATAGGAAAACCTTTTTCTCATCTCTCCACTGAGCAAACAGAAACCAATACTGATACAGAAAAAACCATCAGCCCAATTCTGACTGGAAGTACTGGAAACATGAAATAATGCTTATATTCCTGTTTGTTCTTTAAAGGGAAGCAAACCCTTGAGTCCTTATTGTGTGTGCTTGTTGGCACAAGAGGCAGCTTACTGACTGGTGTCGCTGTTAGCTGAGGAGTGTAGTGGATTGTGGGAAGAGTCCGAGAAATGTTCTAATATGTGTGTGTTTGGGTATGTGTGTGTGTTCCTCAGCAGTTGAGAATGGATCGGTTTCTGTCTGGTCGGAACGGGAACACTGAGCTGTCAGTGTCGACCTTCCCTCTGTGGGGACCCAGTGTGGCCACGGCCTGGAAGACAGCACACATACATGGTTGTTAAAAAACGCACACGCACACACACGCGTGCGCACACGCGCACGCACACGCACACACACACACACACACACACACACACACACACACACGCCACCAGGGGACAAAGAAACAACTGTGATTATCAACAGGCACAACTGCACACCTTTCTGATAGCTGTCCAGTCCTCCAGGATGTCCAAGTCAGGCAGCAGGTAAACAATATACGGCCGTGAGCAGAGTCAAGGACAGTACCACAGGGCAGGATTTCAAATCTGAGGACACAATCTTGGTAACAATATTCGGGATTTACAGAAGCAGTAAAAGTATGAATACTTAGTGGTATGAATATGAACAATAACAGAGGTATTAACAGTGGAAGGATATCAGACACCACTGAAGGTCGTCTCTTCTTCTTATCTGGACTTAAAGCATCTCTCCTCTTCTTCCTTCCCGATACCTCATCATTCCACAACTCTGATAGACAGAGAGAGAGAGAGAAAGAAAGAGACAGATTAAAATGCTATGTGCATGCACTGAATATAATATACGGAGCTGGGTGCTTGTAGTGATCTTGCGTTACCTGATGTAATATCTATGCTGTGTCTGTCTTCCTCCAGTCTTCTGATTTTCTCCTCCAGTTCACTCTGTACTGTATCAAACAGCAGCAGCTTCTCACTCTGCGCACGCGCACACACACACACACACACACACACACACACACACACACACACACACACACACACAAAAGAATAGACATAATATTAGTAAAAACAACAAGATCTGACATACAAGCATGCGTCCCAATATGTTACATATGCCACTGCCAATTACACAAAGCAAATAATTAGGAATTCTGAATGACTCATAAGATCAATGACTCTACAGAAAATATATCACCATCACAATAAAAAACAAAAAAAGTGTGTGTGTGTGTGTGTGTGTGTGTGTGTGTGTGTGTGTGTGTGTGTGTGTGTATGACCTCCCAGTGCTGGCACGCTGCCTGGGTCTCACACTCGTACTTGTTCTTCACAGACTCCAGACACAACTCTCTGTAGATACCTGTTAAAGACAGAGGGAAACACATTATAAGAGTGAATCAGGGAGGCAGGAATGTGTAAGCCTCTATGAGTGTGTCTGTGTGTTGACATTACCTGCCACCTTGGTGCGGACCTGCATGTTCTCCAGCAATACTGCGAGAGGCTCCAGGTATTCTGCTGCCCGGCCAGCCTCAACCTCTGCCAGCTTGCTGTTCACCTGACTGAGACGCTCACGATACAGCCTACACACAAACACAGCTGTAACTACGACCGTAGCTAGTTCCTATAAATTACTTTTTCATTTCATGTTTTTTAAATTTCAATGTCAAAGGGTAAACTTGACAAAAAAAAGTTTCAGTCTTACTGGTCTTTGAGATCTGTAAACTGTTTCTCCAGGTTGGACATTTCATCCAGACACTCCACCCTCCTCCGCTCACAGTCCTCCTCATCCATTTCTGGAACATGATAAAGACACACACACACACACACACACACACACACAGGTTAGGTTATATGAAGAAGGAAGCTTCTCAGGAGACACGTGGGAGCAAAACTCATATTTCTGCTAGGTTATGCATCTACCAGCCATAAAAGATTTGCAAATGGGAAGTCCAGTCAAAACATACACTGAAATAAAGTTTATTTTAACGGCAGCCGTTTACATCATTTGAAAAGGGATGTTTTGCTCATTTTCTACTGTTTCAGAATTTCTCACCAGAGCTGTCTCCATCCTCAGAGACAGAGGAGGTGTCAGAATCCTCCTCCTCTGAGCTGGACACCTCTTGCTCCTGATCCTCCACCTCCATCTCCTCTGCTGTGTTCTCCTTCTTCTCCCGGTCACGGTGCACCGGCATGGCAGCAAGTCGACCTCAGACTGGTAGTGTTAGATAGAAAGACAATGTCAGGCTCCTTTGGCAGTTCAACCTACAACCAATACAGTCTTTGAACGTATCACTTGATTCTATTTGTTTAGTTTTGGGCCTAAATAAAAAGCTAAAATATTACATATAACATATGTTAATTATTACCGATATTTTCCATCTGTGTGATGTGTAATTATACCTGCATGAGTGTGTATTAGTTGAGAAGTGACTTTACATTTAATTAGAGACAAGATTAAACTTGTTTGAACATTAAGGGTAAATTCCTCTCTGGTCACAGCTATTGTTCCATTGATGCATTCTTGTCATATGGGCATGACCACTGAAATTGCTTGGCAGTTCAAAGTAATTACAAATAATTACAAATGACTTGTTTGAACACATGGTGAACACATTAAATGTGTTTCTTTCACTTGATAGTATATGAACAAACAAAAAGTAAAACCCATCCTTCAAGCATCAGTCCTCCTCTTGGATTCGTCGAGCCATTGATTCCGGAGACTTTTCTACATCTCTATCATCATTTGATATGTAGTATCACAATTGTAGTTTACCTAATGAGTAATGGTGTTGGTAGCATATAAATTATATTCCTTGTAAACGATATTTTCTTCATTTATTTTCTTTATCTATATATTTATAGTGGTTCATTTTAATAAATTATTCTTGAAATGTCGTGGGAAAAACCGTGTTACGTCAATGAGCATCCCTAAGAAGCCCTATTGGTGAATGGCTTCATTATAATGCTGAGATTAATTATTAAAAGGTTATTCATGCAGATCAATTTTAAGTGACAAGTAGATCTAGCTGTTTGCTTTTTTAATCATTAAACTATTCAAAATAAATAAGCACAACACATCAAGTTAGCATTGGGTTAGCATGTTAGCAAACCAGTATAGTTCAGTAGCAAGGAAGCCCGACTTGTTAGAAAAATTAACAAGGAAGCTTAAAACTAAATCATGACTCACAAAATGAGGAAGTGTGGGACGTCTGCAAGAATGCTGAAAGGATAATAATTTTCAGAGAAAAGAAGCTTAAACTTATTTTTTCTCGGTTACAATTTCTCTCGTGTGTCCCAGCTAAGCTAAAAACAAATCTCAATCCGGCGCTCTTATTTGTATAGGGAACTGTAGTTTTGTGTAGACATCGATAAAGGGCTAACAACAAGACGTAAACTACATTACCCAGGATTCAGCACTGTAGCTTGAGGCGGAGAACAGATTCTCGACAGGTTTTTAAAACTTTACGCCAGTAAATTGGAAACGATACTTGTGTCAGAAGTATAATACCATTTAATAACAGTCGTATATGATATATTTTAAACTGAATAACAAACGTTTGCTTATTGTTGAACTATGTTGGCGTTGAATTTCTCTGGTATCCATTATTTTGTTTTCCCTCCCCTCCGCCTCCGCCATGATGTTTTCTAAGTGAACAGCCGAGCTAGCTAACTAGCTAGTTTAGGCTTCAGGCTGCGGACTGTTGTGGAAGGGAGGTGCGATGGATGGATGCTTTGCCCCACTACGATTTTCCATATTTGTCTTAGGTTAAACAGAATGCCTCATCTCCGACAGGTTTTACCTCTTGTTCTCCTCCGCGCTGTTGCGGAGGGCTGCTAGTTCGCAGCGCAGCGTTAATAGATGAACCAGGAGCAACGATTTCTCGTTATAGTTTGAAGATTAACGCTAGCTGAGGCTATTTAAGTGGCTACACAGCTAGCCCCTCCTTGCTGTCTACCATCGCATTCTTGTGTCTTTTGCCCCAGGAATGTTTTCCAAAAAGCCTCATGGAGACGTTAAAAAATCAACACAGAAAGTGTTGGACCCAAAGAAGGACGTGTTGACGAGGCTGAAACATCTCAGAATTGTCATTGGTAAGTTAAAACATCATTAATAAGCAGTTAACAGGTTAGCTTCTACGTGCCAGTCTGTGCACACAGGGAATGCCACACCAAAACTCATCTCGGAAAATCACGAAATTCAAAGTTTGATGGCTTGTAAACAGAGACGCTGCCTTTGAATGACACACTTTAAGATCATGTCAGATTGTCCACTCACAAATTCGGCGTCACTCCTGTAGTTCATTGCAAAGCATTTGATCAGTTGTCATAGATGTATACATTCGTTCATCATCTTTAACGTTATTGCTCTCTTTTCGATCAATCTCTGAATGACTATGAGGGCAGTAATTCCCATTGTGCATACAGGCCACAACTAAAAGATGTTTAAAAGTAAGTGAGGCTAGCTGTATCCGCTGTCAACAAAATCAATTGAGTTAGACGAGTGTTTTCAGACGTGCTGTGTGTAAGTGGCAAGTCAACGACACTGTCAGATTTCTGATTGGAGTTTTACTTAGGGTCTGCATAGAGGGCTTATGTTGTGTTTTTACTACCGTGTGAGAACATGTGTGTATGAAGCTGACTGCATGAAATTCAGGCACAGTGATGCTACACGCTGGTAGTCAGGCTGTTGTTGTGATTTATCCAGGGGTGTGCCAGACTGCTGGACAAAGACCAGCGCTGTGTGAGAAATGCTGAGTGTCCTTTCTTAACGTGTTAAGATGTGTTACAACATAAGGCCAACTGCAATGTTTTGAGGGTGTGGAAGAATAAGGAAGACTACAGGGTAATGGGTATGAATAAGTGTGTGTGTGTGTGTGTGTGTGTGTGTGTGTGTGTGTGTGTGTCTTCACTGACAAACACTTGCTCTCACACATGCACACATACACACTGACCGGAGAGGGAAACAGCCTCTACTATTTCCTCTCTATGTTTCTATACAGTAGCTCAACTTCCTGTTTCTATTGTAAGAGCTACTGGGCTGTGTGTGTGTGTGTGTGTGTGTGTGTGTGTGTGTGTGTGTGTGTGTGTGTGTGTGCGTGCATGTGTGACAGAGAGAGCAAGGGTGTGCCCCCTCTCTGTGCTCTTTGGGGAACACAAGACCTTGATAACCATCACAGCACACAAACACACTTGCAGTCACATTGTTTGAGAAGGAATGCTCAGACAGCCGAACAATAGCTAAACCACGCAGTTTTAAATCATCATGGTGCCAGACCGCCACTCGAAGACAGTGCATATGGGCACTATTAGTTGCAGCACCAATAAGAATTGATAACTGGAGCGGCAGAGCAGGCTAAATTATATACCTCAGAGCAAGAATTACTTGTCCATGTTGCTGATGTTGTCCGTGTAGCCAGCATTCTCATAAAAGCTGACTTCAATTGACAGGTTTTTGTTAACCTAAAACAAACCCTCACCTAAAAAGTGTTGACCTTTTGACATTAAAGGAAACAGAGAGTGAGCACTAAGAGTGTTGCTTTTCTAATAGAATAGTTCATATCTGATGGTTCAACAAGAAGCTATTTCATTGCTTTGCAATCCCTTTGATGCAATCAGGTTATTAAGTAACTGTTTGGCCCTGTTGTTGACGCAAATGACATACCTCAATGTTTTGTTGAGGATACTGGCTTAACCTTGACTACATTTATTTAGAGGTTAATAATCTATCATCGTCTAAATCAGCTAGTATTGTATTTACAAGCTGCTTAGCTTAGTGTAATTAATGACAGAAAATGCATCCTCCATATTGCATCACAATTTCCTTCCATTATTCAAAGTCAAACTAAGCCTTTCTGATCCTACCATGAGGGTCCCTTGAGGAACTTGTTTTACTTAAAAATTTGCAAAAGCACTGATAAGGTAATCAGAATATGCTGTTTTTCTTATTCAGAGTATAGCTGTGGTCTGGGTAAAAACAGAAACCACATCAGGTTGTTTTATTATAGATTACTGGTTCACACTTGTTGACTGTGACGTGGACCAGTAGGTATCTGGTCATCGTGTACTCAAACATTTGAGGTCTGAACCAAAATAGCATCCAGTGCCACTATACCCAATATTGAAAGCGACTAAATGATTTGCTGTACATCAGCTTTGGAGATGGCGTATGCGATCAGGTAGTGTGAAAAAATGTCAGTCCCCAGAGGAAGAGATAGACAACCACTCAGCCTGACCACTAAGACCTTACAAGGGCAACCACTATGGCATAGAACACAGATGGCCTCAGTGGGTGTGTGTGTATGTATGTATGTATGTATGTATGTGTGTGTGTGTGTGTGTGTGTGTGTGTGTGGCAGAGCTCAGCTTTAAGTATTTATATAAACAAACCCGAAGACTATCACTAGAGGCTCCTCCAAGAGTGTGTGTATCTTACATGCTCACATATTTTCTTTCAGTTTTGACCCTGAACTATGGTTGTGGTTGTATTCTCAGTATAAGCGTGTGTTTTATCTCTGCATCTGAGTCAGGGTGTCTCCTCCCAATGACAGCTGGTGGTGTTGAGATTCAGTCCAGAACACATAAAGGTAAACTTCACATCCTTTAGAACAGTATGTCTGAAACTGTAGCCGGGACTCAGACTGGGCTGTGAGTCTTTTCTGCTGCATATTTAGAGAGCCCAGATGCTGCACTGAGGTTATATTACTCAAGCTCATAGTTCCTGTGATGAAAATTCAGAAATCTGGGGTCTTTACAACAGGGTTTTTTTCTAATTGTTGTGTGTTTAGATTTATAAATCTAAAATATTTAGATAGAAAATTGACAGAGAAGAGCGTATGACTGGTGCAATTGTCCATTTCAGAATCACAGTACTTTGTTGTCTCCAACTCCAACATAGTTGTCTCCATTTCCTCTGATGTATTTTTGTTCATTTTTCTGTTTTTCTCAGACTGAATACAGCTATGAGAGTGAACAGAGAGTCAAGTTGAAAGTCAAGTTGAGACGCACATTTGATGTTTTATATGTGTAATGCGGAGCTTGTGTTAGAGAGATGAAGAATAAAAATGAGGATGGACATGGAACCAGATGAGGTGTTTCTGATTTCTGGAAGAATCAAGGATAAGTTTGTGGACAGTTTTGAGCTTGCGTGTGTGTGTGTGTGTGTGTGTCTCAGCTTTATTTTTATTGTCATTTTCCAGAAAACGCAGAGCCTTCAGAGCTGAAACAGTTCTTCGATCTGAACTACTCCCATATCTACTATGTCTTTTTTGAGAACTTTGTCACCATTGAGGTCAGCCTCAAGCAAAAAGGTAAGTTTTACGCGCTGTCTACATTAACAACCAAACAATTAAGATGAGCTCTGATTGGTCTGTTTTCACAGGGTAGAAAAAAAGAAAAGCATCATTGGTATTTAGCTAGATTATTGTGGTTTCTTTCAAGCTAATGTGTGTGTTTCAGGTCACAAGTCTCAGAGGGAGGAGCTGGACTCCATCCTATTCATCTTTGAGGTAAAACATTATCAGAAATTTCTAATTTAAAATGGAAATCTAGAGAAAACTGAGACTGAATTACTAAATACTTGATTGCAGCTGGACTACAGCATGGAGCTCTGACATTATGTGAAACTAAATCACTGAAGTGCTTGTGATTCCATGCGCTCTAACTTTCTGTAGGTGGTCTCAGTCCCTACCACAGCAACCAGCCAGCACTGACCTCAGACTAAGACCCCTGGCATTTAGCAACAACACTCAGAACTGGGTGGTGGTGCTTAGAGTAGCCAGGATAAGATAGCAGCTCTGTATGTGTGTGTTACTGACCTTTATTTGGCCCTTCGCAGACTTTAAATTCAGAACCAGAGGAACCAAGTCTAGCGAGTACTTGGATAAAAGAATGTGTTTAATATAGGTTTAGTTTATCTTGACAGTTTGTCTGCATATACAGTAGATCTTTGGTTATGCTGTACATCTCTAGTTGCCAAATATATATAAATACATAAAACCTATCATAACACATAACAAGTCAAACGTTTCTTAACCAATAATAATAATAATGTTCTCAATATCTGAATATTTTTTTCAACAGAAAATCCTCCAGCTCCTGCCAGAGAGAATCCAGAGCCGATGGCAGTTCCACAGCATAGGTAACTCACACAATCCCCCCCCCATCCCCTTTCTTGAAGCCCATGTTACAGTAGATATGTATGCAACAGATCAGAATCAGATTGTCCCAGCAAACTATGTGTTCCTGAATCAAGTTTAACCGGTTTTGAAGAGTGGGGCCACTCAATCACATGCTAGGTTATTTCATGTAATGCCAGAGACCAACCAGCACCAGAACTTTGCTAAGAGAAGAATGCATGGCATGGTGCAGAGTAGCTGTTCTCCTCCTATCCTGCATGTATGTTATTTAGTGCTGCAAACTGTTTATCTTCACTGAGGATCAGAAGCGCAAATGGCCTTTTTTGGGTGAATGGGTTTATCAAGATTTATATACATTTTGCAAATGCTTTTCTACTTTTTTGCAACAAATTCAAAAGTTTGTAAAATTTTATTAGAGCTTGCCAACCTTAAGTCGATTGTGCACAGCAGTTTGAAATGCTCAGGCTGACATGTCTTTCTCTCTCAGGGCTGATCCTCAAGAAGCTGTTGCACACTGGGAACTCTCTGAAGGTACTGCTCTGATTCGCTGTTAACTCTCTGTCAACCTGTCAGTCATTGCCCCTACATCCTAATCCTCCCCGCATGCTAAGGAGACGTTTACAGCCTCCTCTTGTCTTCTAAATTATATGAAAAGTGTTAATCAAAGAAGTAGGTGCATCGTTTTGCCTCAATAAATTCTGAGAGCATTAATTGTTCCGATATTCGTATCATTACTGTAAAAATGAGATAAAAGTCAGCTTCTACTGGCATTTATAATACATTTTAGAAAGTGTGCACCATTTTTCATTTTGTGCGAAATTGTGTGTATTGTTGCTTAAAGAAATATTTAGTGAAAATTGAAGAATTGGTTTTACTTAAATTACACTTGAATACTCTAATTCCAGTTTCCCTACTCCTACTGCACATGAGTAGGTACAATGTGAAGTTAGCCATAATCTGGTGTTAGCTTCTTATCCTTAAAACAAATTTATCTGCTGCTATCTTCATGTTAATGATAGGGTTTGTGAGAAATGTAGTCTAAAGTTGTGGAAAACAATACACTAGTAATATCTAATCAACAAGGTTTCTCGTCATGCCTCATCTCTCCCTCTCTCCTCTACACTGTAGATTCGTCGTGAAGGAGTGCGCTTGTTCTTGCTGTGGATGCAGGCATTACAGAGCAATGCAGAGCGTGAGCAGCTCTGCATGTTTGCCTGTTTGATTCCTGGCTTCCCAGCTCCACTTTGCCATGGGACCCCACGCACCCTGGACACTCTGATCAACCCACCGCTGAGTTTAACAGAGAGTTAGTAGAAGAAACACAAAAACACACACAAAAACACAGTGGGGTCAGGTTGATAAATGGGCTCAATAATCAGCTATCATTAAATACAATTAGCCATTCACTGCACCTGACAAGGTATATCACAGATGTATACAGAAATGAGACAAACATCAACATATTTTGCTGTATTCATTGTGATGTAAACATGAAATCTCCCTGCTTCCCCGCTGCAGCTCAGGTTACCCCAGAAGAGATCACTCCATTGGTTCCTCCTCAGTCAGGTGACAAGAACCAGGAAGACCTCACTGCTTACTTTTTAGAAGCTCTACTCAAATACATGGTAAACCAGGTATTATCATCATTTCTTACTAACACAGCTAACACTACATAATTACACTTTTGCAAATGTTGCGATGCTTCACTAATGCCACTAATGCTAAACATATGGGGGAAAATAGCTATTAGGGTTTCTCAGCTATTGACACTGATGTATATGGGAACTTGATGGTAGATTAATTATTCATCTGATCCCTTCCTGGTATCACTAACTTCTTCAAATACAACTTTCCCTTATTGACAGACTTTGTATTTCCTCTTCTTGCTGCTATCACATGCACACATACATGCAGTCATACACACACTGATAACATTCTCCCCTAAAACAATGGTGCTTTTCTCCGCTTGACCCTATTTTGTGTGTGTAATGCTCTCTTTGTAACACAGACTTGTTTGTCTTTGTGTGTGTGTGTGTGTGTGTGTGTGTGTGTGTGTGTGTGTGTGTGTGTGTGTGTGTGTGTGTGTGTGTGTGTGTGTGTGTGTGTGTGTATTTGTGTGTGTTTCCACCAGGCCAAATCTCTTGAATGGCGTTGTAAAGAGAACCATGAACGTGGCTTCAGTTTCCTCTTCGGTCACTTCAGGAAGTTTTACCTTCCTCACATTTTTCCCAACTTCGCCATGGAAACAAGCCTCTACAACCCAATACTGGGTCAGTTACATTAGGTCTTTAATAGCTATGTATACTGGAAATCCAGTGGCCCATTGGAACACATTGAACGGTCATTTTGTATTACTGTAACCCTAGACCACATAAATAAAGATCCTCTTTCCCTGCAGACGTGCCTCCGATGCGTCCTAAGCCCTACTACAGTGTGGTGCGCAGGGAGCAAGACGGCGGTGAAACAATGTACTGTACCAAGGAGAGCTTCCTTCAGGCCCGAGTCATCTTTATCCGCTGGCTGGTTTCTTTCTGGCTTGAGCCACGACCCAACACACAGACACACATCCCAGGAACAGAAGGAGAGAACGTCCCCAAGAATATACAGGTAACACACACTTATTTTAATAGATGTTTGCAGTAGATGTTTTGTTCTGTCGAACCAACCAGCAGTCTAAAACCTTTTAAAATATTCAGTTGCTTTTCAACAGGGCACCACTTCCAGCAGAGGGTTTATGCTTAAAAAGTGTTTAAAGCAGCAAATGTTAAAGATTGATGTGATTTCAACTAAAAAAGGATGTCAAATAAAATAAAACTTTTCCATAACAACAGATTTACACATGGCTGACAACTTGACAAATTGTTACTTATGAAATCTCTACAAATATTCATAAGGGGCATTGTATTTCGATTTCTATTTATTTTCTTGCCTTGTTTTTTAACTAAAATGTTTACCTCCAGCGAGCAGCAGCCGGGCTGGCAGCTCGCTCTGCAGGCAGCTCAGATGACAGTGGTGGAGGCGGGATCCGGTCTGACAGCCACCTGGAAGGTAGCGGCTGCTCATCTGGACCAGGCGGAGGCAGCATGGGGCTATCTGGGGGTTCAGGGCTTGGGGGCGAGCCTGAACAAAGCCACTCCAACACATCAACATTGACAGAGAGGGAGCCCAGCTCCTCTTCGCTCTGCTCCATGGATGAAGAGCAGCTGACGGACATGGAGGTGGTGAGGAGAGTTCTGACAAGCTCCAGAACCAACGTCAACTTCATCACTGAGATCTTCAGACAGGTGAAGGAGGAATAACTTTATTTTTCAGGGAGTGGGGATGTCAAATATTTGACTAATGCTTTCATTAAGGTTATATCTGATTTTATGTGCAGTATCATTAGTCCAACTGTTTCTCTGTTCTTCATGCGATATGCCTGTGTACTTTATCTTTTACAGCTATCTTTCTTTGGAAGATGCTTTAAATGAAACATAATCACTACACTGAGTGTTGTGAAGTATTACCTCTTAATATTTATGTCTCTCTGTACCAATACAGGCATTTCTCCTTCCCATGTGCGAAGCTGCAGCGATGCGTAAAGTGGTCCGTGTTTACCAGGAGTGGATCTCCATGGAGGATAGGCCAGTGTTCATGAAGGAGCCAGATGAGGGCCCCTATCCCATAGCCTCAGGCGGCAGTCTGGATTCAGGCTCTCAGCTCGGAGACAAGGAAGATGAGGTGAGGAAGTACCTGAAATCAGTAATCGAATACGAAAACCCTTAAAATAACAGTAGGCCATGTGAACAGATCTTTGTATAGTGATTTTAACTGGGCTAGTCTGACCAGCTCATTAACAGTAGGATTTTGATAGTCAGTCCCTAAGAAAAGGTACCAATCTCATACTTGTTCATTATGCTATTCAACCATTCCAATTTCAACACTTTTCCTCAAAAAACGAATATTTATTAGTAAAAGAAATTTAGTTTCAGCGTCTGTCTGTTTTTTTTTTCTGTTTCCACAGGGAATGAACAAGGCAATTGACAGTGAATTGCTGGAGTACAGTGTTCATGCTGGAGTTCAAACTACACTTCAGGTCCTCACGCACTTAAAATGTCTGATGTTTGTCCATACATACACAAAAGTCTCATTGTTGCAGTGCCTCGTTACTGTTCTTAGAACATCTCAAATGCTTGTCTCCTTTCAGGTATTTATCACCCACTCTTCCAACGTTTTCCTATTGGAGCCGGCAAACGACATCAAGATTCTTTTAGAGGAGCATGTGGACATGTGCAAGCGAGTCCTGAACATCTACCGCAGCCTTGTCATGCATGAGACCATGGACCAGAAAACATGGTAAAAGAAAAAAAGAAGCTGCAAAGACACCAGATACATTTCAGTAGAATCGTGGTTTGGTCACATTTGCTTGCTTTTTCACGTATTTGTTTGCAGGGAACAGATCTTACTGGTTCTGCTGAGGGTGACAGAATCTGTGATGAAAAGACCTCCATCCATCATGCCCCAGGGCAAGAAGAACAACACACTGTCAGGCAGACTGGCTGGACCTATCTTTCAGGTACATTTCTATCACTATGATATATCAGACTGGCCAGTTATTTCTTAATGGGTACCAAACATGCACTTTTGTACAGTATTATCCAGAGTATTATCAATGTGGTAGAAGGAGACAGAGTTGTCTCTGTGGTACATAAAAAATGAAAGAGTTAATAGTAAAGCTATCATAATGAAATTGCTATTGTTTACAGCAACACAGCTTCAGGGAGACGGACTGGCTTGTGGTGCTCTAAATACTAACATGTTGGCTACAAATGCATAACAAAGATGTACTTTGTCTATTATCAGTATAAATTATGTAAAAGCACATGATGCCTTAATGGTGATGTTGTAATCATATAATGAAGTAGTTTATTTGAATATGATCTTGGTCTTGGGTTTTCATGTATCAGGCTGCCTTCATCTCTTCTGGTCAGAATACAGTAATGTTATTAACGTTGGTTAAAAGAGGTCCTGCTTGCACAAGGGTGTGTTTTTATTCTTAACAGTTATTGCTGAACACCCTAATGAAGCATAAGAAGGTCCAGATACCCAGACCCAGCTGACTAGTATTTAGTTTGGATGAGTAGAGATATGAAATACAATCTTTTATAAGATAACTTTCTTTCATTTCATTCCCTCTTTCTGTACAGACACTGATAGTAGCCTGGATTAAGGGGAACTTAAATGTCTACATCAGCAGAGAACTCTGGGACGACCTCCTCTCTGTCCTCTCCTCTCTTACCTGCTGGGATGAACTGGTCACTGAGTGGTCACTCACCATGGAGACGCTCACCAAGGTACTGGAAGTTATTTTAATCAGGTTATCGTTCAAGCATTATATTCACACTGTGTATGGATGTTAGTCAGCTAAATTAATGTTTTGACACAAATTATTTCATTTGATTTCACTGCCTTGACTGAGAAATGAACGTGTTGATATTAATGAATTGCCTTTCAAACAAGTCACGTTTGTCATTCGCGAAGTAGAGGAGAACTGTAATGAAGGAAACAGTTAATTCCTGTTTCCATGCCTGTTAATTTTGCCCCTGTGTTCGCTTTGATTATATGTCTCACATCCTCTGCTGTTCATATGACTGAGACTTATCATATGCATGTTTCAATTCTCCCTCAGCATATGAAAAGCTCTTTGACTTAAGCACTGGTTTAAGTCAGGAATGTTGCTGCCGTCTTAACCAGTGTGGCAACATAAACGCGTGTGCGTGTGCGTGTGCGTGTGCGTGTGCGTGTGCGTGTGTGTGTGTGTGTGTGTGTGTGTCTTAGGTGTTGGCCAGGAACCTGTACAGTGTTGATCTGAATGAGCTGCCTCTGGACAAACTCAGTGAACAAAAACAGAAGAAACATAAAGGAAAAGGTGGGTTTGTCACAAGAGAACCTTAAAAACAAACAACTCAAATACAGACAGTTGTGTTTGACATGTAGTCCCGAGCCAACTGCAACTTTTGAATATAATTATAATCTATCTACACAACAAAATAACAATACAACAAATATTGTGCCTCTCCTTCCATCTGCACCAGGTATAGGTTCGGAGGGCCAGCGGCAGATTGTGGATCGTTCCTTCTCTAAAGGCTGGAGCAGAGACCAACCAGGCCAGGCAGCAGCCATGAGGCAGCGAAGCGCCACCACTGCTGGCTCACCAGGCATCGAAAAGGCCAGGAGTATTGTCCGCCAGAAGACTGTAGGTCAGTATCCATCCTCTTTAGATGACTGTCCTCCTGTGCATGTGGGAATTACAAGTTTAAAGGCCAGGAAAACTTGCTGTTAGTCATGTTCATGGCACAGACTCCCAGAAATTCTTGTGTGTATTTGTTTTAAACTGGCTGGCATGTGTGTGTGTATGTGAGTGTTGAAGAGGAAGGCCACTTAGAAAAAAGCAGCACACTGTCTCCTCAGCGCACTTCAAATAGGTTCTCTTCCTTCTCAAGTTAGTTTTATGAGACTTGACACCTCCTCCACTTTTCTCCTCCCTCTTGCCTGACAGACAGGAAGTTGTGGCGTATGCTTACTGTCATACCTCCTCCTCAGTAGAGTCTTGTTTATGTGAAGGCCTCCACTCTGGCCACTGGTGTGAAGAAAATGGTCATAACACCACAGTGTACTGAAATACCAGCACAAGCTGAGAGCAAGATGATGACAACTCATAATAAACAGTCAGTCAGAAGATGAATATGATGAAAACCCAACCTAATGAGGATATTTAGCACCCAGTAAGATATGAAGAACTGTAACTGTAATGCCAAAATTAGGAAAACAAATGTTGTTCAAACTGTTCTTATTTGTTACCAGATAGCACTGCCTTTAATGCTAAGAAGCAACCAAATGAAAGAAAAGGAAAAAAGTGAGAGACAAGCAGGTTCTCTGGGCCTGTAAGTGCATTTTATGTGGTTTAGCACCACTTGTACAAACTTTCATAGTGTGCTTTTCAGAGTGTCTGCAGGGCCTTAAAAAGTCTCAAATCCAATAATCTGAATATTAGGCCTTAAAAGGTCTTTAATATGATTTTGACAGGTCTTATTTTTGCATTTTTCAGCCTCGCTTTTAACTGTGTTTTTGGAAAAATGTTGTATTGATCGTGCTTAACAGCGACAAAACAAAACTTAAAAAATGAAACCAATACCTATTTTTTATTTATTTATCTTTTTCCATCATATCCATGCAACTTTTTTGGCAGTATGGACGTAAAATAGGTCTTGCATTGCATTTATAAGGGTCTTAAAAAATCTTGACCTATTGAAACCTGCAGAACCCTTGGCTTTTCCTGTGAGAAATATAAGTATGTGCAGTAGTTTTCAATTGCATATTCGCAAAAAATCATACACTTACACAGACAACCTCATTTTGTTGTGACTGCAAGTTAACACATTAACCTTAAAACACATGCTGCCCCTGTGTATCATGGTATTGGGAGGAGATTTAAGCTTTACAGAGTGCCAAGCTGCCATCAGCCTCTCACTGTCTTTCCTCCAGAGCTAACCCTGTCTCACTCCTCCTTCACCTTCCCTGTCTCTTCCCCTGTCTTGCTTTGCCTCAACCCCATAAATCATTTCTTTCTTTTATTACCTCTCACCTGTCTCTGTCTCTTATTCTTTTTTTCCCAACACTTCCTCAATTTAACTTGTGTTTTTCTGTCTTTGCTCCATCGTGGTCATACTTCTGATACCTCATTGTTTTCATTCTTTTCACTTCCCATCCTCACCTTACTTGTCTCTTATTGCTTCTTTCTTTTATTCCCTTTTTTGCACTCCTTTTCTGTCTCACACTCCCCCCCCATACTCTCTGTCTCTTCTATCTGTTCTTCCCACCTCTTCAGCCCTGCGTAGCTGTTCTACGGGGGACTCTCTGCTGTCCTCAGCCTTTATCCGCAGTGCTAAGAGTGCTCCTGCTCTGGCTCCGCCTCTTCCTGTCCTCCTCCACCACCACCACCCTTTACTACCCCCCCTTGCCGACCGGCTGGCAGGTACACACTCTTCGCACTACCGGTCTGCCTGCCTGCCTTTCTGCCTGGAGACTTTACTTGTCTGTACGTCTCTCAAAAACTGAAACTTTATGCCTGTCGTCTCGTGTCGTCTCGTCTCGTCTCAGTTTTTCCAGCCATCTGTTTGTCATTACTGAAGCAACAGTTTGCATGTGGTCCATCAGGAATCATATAGCCCTTTAGCCCATTTTTGACCTTTACTGGGGTTATCAGTGGGGTTTTGAGAAATGCTTGAACATCCAAGATCCATCATTCTCCTGAAGCTGTGCAATAAACTCATCAGCATTGCTTGATATTTTGCATGTGACAAAGGGATGATCAAGGCATATTGTAGCACTTGAATGACCATTTTTGTCATTTTGAAAATACAGAATGAAGAGCTGTTTATGGTTACTGTCGTGATTTTAACATTAGTTGGTACATTTGAGTTTTGCATGGTGAGTGAATTAAATGTTGCCTAGCCAATACAAAGAAGGACATCTGTCATTTTGACTTTATTCTACAAATATTTAACTATTATTTAACTATTTGATGTGAATTGTACATTTTTTACAGGTAGATGGAGACAGGTCATGTGTCTATGTTTGTTGTTGAAAAGTCTGCATGAAACTTGACCTATCTGTTTCCCTGTCGGCTTGCTTGTTTCTCTGCCTGTTAACCTGTATCTTTTACTTATCTGCCTACCTGCACACATGCACGTCCCTCTGTCATGTATTTAACTCTTTAATGTTTTCTGCATATTACAAGCATCTATTTCTCCCTTATTTCTATGCCCTTCTTGCCAATCTCCCCATCACTGATGCTATGTGGTGTTTAATTTGATGCCATTTATTCTTGTGATGGCATTTAACTTGACTCCTCTCCTTCTTTTCTGTAGACATGATGGTGATGATTTTACTTTATCATATCCTCTGCTGGAGTGATTTTTACTTATATTATACTTTTAGTATGTGTGTGTGTGTGTGTGTGTGTGTGTGTGTGTGTGTGTGTGTGTGTGTGTGTGTGTGTGTTTTGTGATAGATAATTATAGCTGTGTAAGAGTTTCCATTTATTTACCTTATGACATCTGACCAAAGAGAAAACACACACATGGTCATAATAAATGTCTCTACAGGTGGGGAAAAAACTACTACGGTAGATTTGGGTTTCTTACAATTCAAAAATATGTGATTGAGGTTAACCTCTCTCAACAAGGAGTGAGTGCATGCCCTTTGTCTTTTCAAATGATAGTTATTGCTCATATCACTACAAGTCAGTTGCTATTAGAATGGCCAAAGGCCTTCTGCTCAAAGTTGTGAATAGTTTTAAAGCAGACATTTAAAGGGGAGGTGTTTTTTTTGTCTTTGGTTATAAATGTCTTCAGTGTTTGCTCGTTAAGGCTGATAAAGTTGTAAGAAACTCTGCCACCATGAATGCTGCTCTGATATGTCAGCTGTATCTACAATGTGGCACCATTGTACAGATACCGATTTTGACTTTAAAAAAGGAAGGTGATCAACTCATGACAACAACAATTACCATCCAGGAGTTTATCAGTTTCTACTTCTCAAAAACTTTTCATTTATACCAAAGCTTAACAACAGCCTTAGTTAGTTTTAAGATTCTCATCCCAGCTTGATAATTACCTACTACTATACTACTGTATATGATCGTCTGATATGAATCCAGTTTACATTTATCTCACTAGGCTTAGTTAACTAATGACTATGATGTGGTGACTTGATTAAAGACCATATATTAGATTGCTTCAGCACTCACTCTTTCACACACAAGTAATGAAATAGAGAATATAATGTCAGTATGTTTGGGGGGGGGTGGGTTTGTTTTTTGTTTTGTTTTTTAAGCAATCTATAATACAAATATCTTTGTAAATCGTCTTGTAGCCTTGTCTAATCACTTCAGAAATGTTGTGATGCTTAAGAAGGTCCTATTTATGATACTTTCTGTTTTGGTAACTTTTTTGGTCTTCACTACAAGTGAGTGTATGTCTGTATGTGCGTTTACATATATCCATTCCCACTTTCCCCTCCACTAACCTTACTCCCTTTCTCCATTTTCCCACAATTACCAGACCTTGAGGACCCGCCAATCACACTGACATCCCGTCCCTCACGGATGCGCCACTCCTCCCAGAGTGACGAGGCCCCTCCCACTTCCTGTTCTGAGGTCTTCCAGGGAGTGGCTTGTGACCTGGATGCTCCGGCCCCTTCGTCCCTTGCAAGGAGCAGCAGTGCCTCTGACATCATGGAGCCTTTCATCGCAGAGCGGGTCAAAGGTGAAGACCCCCTGAGGGATCCCGCTTCGATCCCAAATTCCCCCCACCTCCACTCCACAACTTCTTCCTTACTGGCAGCCAACCGCCACGCAGCTCAACCACTCCCACATCCCCCCACCTCTCCCTCTCCCACTCCTTTAACCTTTTCTAATGGCGGTGCTGTCTCGTCCTCAGAGGCACAAGATGATGATAATTCTTATGACCAGTTCTGGCAGCAGATTGGCTGTCGAAGCCAAGGCTCTAGTTCTGATTGGGTAAGCGACTGGGATTCTGCCTTCGCCTGTTCATCTGAAAAGGAAATCGATGTAGAAGAGGGTGAGATTGGGGCTGGGGTAGAGGAGGAGGATGATTTATTCTCCTCTATTAGGGACTACCTCACTCACAAAGGAGGTGAGAGGAAGGAAGAGGCAGGAGATAAAGATAGTCTTGGTCATGTACTCGAGAACAGTGTTGTAACTTTACCTACACCTGTGCAAACAGGGGTAGCTAGAACACAAATGGAATACACAGGACAGGTAGGAGAGGTAAGACAGGTGGTGAGAGAGGACAGACAGACTTGTAAACAGGACAGACAGGTAAGTAAATCCGTGAGACATAGCAGTGTGGACTCAACAGAGGAGAATGAGGCAGAGCAGCGGAGCATCTATGAGTGCCTGGAGTTGCAGTGCCAGTGGCCGTCACCCAATGCAAGGGGGAGTGCTAGCTTAGAAAGACACACTGGGGAGAAAAAGGGAGTAGGAAATACAGGAAGGGCAGAAGGATGGGAAGGGAAATGTGACTTGTGGAGAGAAATGGGAGAAGAGAAACAGGATGATAAAGAAGCAGCATTAAAAGAAAGGTCCAGTTTAATTAGACAAGACAACGCATTAGAATCTAGCACTGATTCAAATCAAAGTGCCCAAACTTCTGACACAGCTAAGGCCAAGATGTCTCGTAGTAGCGCCAAAAGGCACCATTCTGGTGGGGTTCATGTTAGCTTCCGGCCCTCGACTGAGTCAGTCCAGTTCCACAATCCCCTTGAGAGTAAAGAGGCCCACTGGAAAGCCCGGCTGCGCCGCCTAAGTCACTTCCACACACACAGCCACTCAGCTGGGGAGAGGTCCGGGACTGGGGCAGGGTCAGGTGCGAAGCAGGGAGCAGGGGCTTCAGGTAAGTTTGGCTCTGTAGCTGGGATTAGCCATAGAGCAGGAGCTCAAGAGAAATTAGCCACTGGGACTGTAACGGATAACAGCGGGAACGCCACAATTGCTGGAGGCCTGGAAAGCAGGGCTGGGACTGGAGGGGACAAGGACAAGCAACATCCTGGATCCTGTGTGGGATCAAACCTGGCCTCTGAGGCTCCCTCAGAGGCGTCTTCAAGCAGTTCAGGTTTCTCTGGCGTGTCGTCAGGGGTGCGTGGCCGTTTGGGACGTTCCGCCTTGCGATCTCGAGCCTCCCGCTCTCGCTCCCAGGAGCCCGGCAGTACTGCCTCACGACACCACCAGGGGGCTCTCCTTGGTGGCGTCTACAAAAGTGTGGTTCACGCTCTGTCCTCAAAGCCCCGGCCCCGAGGTCAGGGGTCATCCCAAGGCTCGTCGCCACAGCGGCAGGGCCGGGCCGCCATGGGTGACGCATCACTAAGAGACCTCTACTCCCACGTCCTGGGCTACTTTGGACGAAAGACGACTACGCCAGGTGAGGATTGCAACGAACGAAGCGTTCACAAAGGACACAACAGATACAACAACAACAACAACAACAACTACTTTGGAAAGACCAATACGCACCAACACACAAACACCAACAACTCTCTTTTCCTTTTTGGCTGTTTTTAACTGGTTTGTTATGATGGAATGATGTTTTTTGGCTGATACTCATCATCTTGCTGCTGGACTGAAATTCAAACTCCCTGTTGATGTGTTTCCTCTTGAACGTAGCCCCTCCTCCAGCCTGCCTCCTGTCAAGGACCCCCCCTCCTACCATACCTGTTCAGAAGCCCCATCCCTCCTCCTCTTGTCCTCTTTCTTTGGGGCTTTGGGATTTTAACCTCCTTTCCTCCTTCCCCTCTTCTCCACCTCCTCCTCCCTCTCCTCGATGTTGCATGCGGCCTCGTCGTGCCACCTTCGCCTCCTCCCTGGACTCCGGCCTTTCTTCAGCTGCACAGGAGGAAACAGCAGTCCACAGAAAAACACAACTGCCCATAGAAAAGATAAAAGCAACGATAAAAAGAAAAAATACTTATAGAAAACTCCATTAGAGCTTTGTTTCATTTAAATGTGTAGATATGAAAGTTTAGAAAGGTAAATGAATAATTATTTTACAAGAGCAAACACTAGTTTCTACGTTTGTTACCATATTGCTGTAGTTCCCGCTCAGACCACTAGAATGCAGCATTAGACCTTATGTGAGAATGGCCGTCTTAATAATGGTGGTACACCCATAGAATTTGAATGGATAAGAAGAGGTATGCACTTTCAAATTAACAATCTTGAATGGTTATTTGCCTTGTACACTGCCACAAGATAATATCAAACATGATTATTGGTAAAGTGCACATTTCAATCAGCAGCACAAATACCCTTTTTCTATTCATTCTAATTCTCAGGGCAGCAGACTGCAGAACTGGGTTCAAGTTATTTTGTCTTGCGGATCAGATGTTTGATGTGAGCACAGTGATTCATCAGCTGAATCTGTCTCGATGTGGGAATACTGTTACGCAGCCACATTTTTTCCTTTTCTAACTTTATTCAGGTGTCTTGCTTGCTAAATGGTAGCTACCACCGTTGGCTATCATTTCTGTTTGTTTGATTTGTCGACTTTTGTGCCAGATGTGTGGATGTTGCTGCAATAATACAGTAGAGGCCAGAACTATTTGATATGATAGTTCAATTTGAAACATTCTTGTGTGGATCAACAATATTGACAGCAACTTTACTTGAATCAGTGAATTTAGTCAAACTCCAATCATCTGGTACTCCATGCAGACTAAAACCAGATATTATGTGCAGTGACTCTCTGGTTGTCTGTCTGTCTGTCTGTCTCTGTGTTGAACTACTTAATCTGTATGACTGCTGATGGTTATGCATAATCCTTGTTCTATGAACACAGGTAGATCTTAACAACAGAACTTCACAGATCATAGCACTAAAAAGTTGCATGTCTATGCTCAGCCAATTAGAATGAACTTGCACAACCACATGGGCAATGCCCCTATGAAAGGGAGCCATCTACCCATTCCTAATTGAAGTGAATTGACAGTAAAGCTTATGTTCCAATGGTGCAGCCGCTTGAGTGTTGCGTGCTATGTTGCACTCCTTAAGACTATTTGCATCCTCACAATAGCTACCTATTTTGCAGAACTACAATGAAGCTTGAGGGTTTCCACCCTAAACTTGGCTGTACTGATCAGGTAGATCAGTAGGTTTTAACTACCACCTGTCACCTGTCAGTTCTCTGATCTGCTCTTCTGCGCAGTGCTATCAGAGTTGTAGCATAATCCATTTGTGTTGTTTCTGATCCGGAACTATCTCTCTTATGAGAATAGCAGTGACTAGTTCCTCAGTGGCTAGTTACTTAGCAGGAAAGCTTACATTATAGTATTTGAGAGCTTTGGGGTGTCATCGTTAAATACTGAACTCCATAGGAGGACAGCAGTTCTCACACAGGAATGGGCTCATCCAGATGGGCTGAGCACATGCAGAACATGCAAGTATTCTTTGCACAGACTCGCAGAGGCAAGTTGTCAGTTCTGTAAAGTCATGCTAGAGTGCAAAGGTTGTGTGAAATATAACTCTTAACTGTCAGCTAACATCACAGCTTAGTGCTACTTCTTACTTGAACCACAGTGTTAACCATTTCATGCTGTAGGCCCAGTGTGAAATACATTGTATATGTGTATATATGAGTATTAATTTATTGGGCCTTTTACTGATAGATTTATGTAACTGAGAAACAGATTGGGATCTTGTAGCCCAGGCCAACATATTGTCACACATTGTCAACATGTCTCATTCCTGTTGTTGGTGATGTCATGGCAAATAACCATTACAGTCCAATAGGCTACATATAGACACGCCTATCTCCAGGGTGTTTTAACACCCAGGCTAGAAAAGATAGCTGAATAACCTTCTGTAAGGGAGGATGCTTGAAATAGTCAGCTAAGTTAACTTCAGTTTGGGGCTGTTGTTAGTGAAGTTAAGTTTGTTTGCTGCTTACTTCAGTTATGTCCATATTTTCACAGTAGCAAGATGCTGATTCCTTCTAATGAGCAGTTAAAACTTAAATGACAGAAAACTTTTTTTTTTGCACTGACTTTTGAAAGTTTGAAATATTTTTTGCACATCTGACAACATACAAGACAGACTGCCCTGAGTGATTTAAGATTGCTTCTGCAGTTTGAGCACTACCTGTCTTGTTCTGTGGTTAAGTGGCCATGGTGTAAGACTGGAGGTTTTCCAGGTTCCTGAGCTTTATTGATCAAAGACCTGGTATTGGGCTGTGGAAGTAACCAGGCTCTGTCCGCTTTATCAACCACAGGTTCAGGTATTACAGATTACCCGGTTAATACTTAATGCAGCATATTCACTCTCATCTGATTTGGGATTGATGGATTCTCACACCGACCGCTGCCATTGCTACCAAGTTAACAGCAACATAACTCATAGTAACCATAACTACTAATGTAGGCATCTGATATGCTGCCTGTTTGGACATAACAAGGTGATACTCTCTCTCGCTCTCTGTGCATGGTGTGAATTAACTCCTGCATTGCTTTTCTGGTGGGTTTGCCTGCTGTGTTGTGGCTTTTTATTTTAACAACCAATCTTTTGCTAACTTCAGGGCCTACAGTACATACACATCAGGACTGCTCTTACAATTCAGAGAGAATCTCCAGTTAGTGTTGTGGATATTGTGACACTTAATATAATATCTGAACACTTAACTATCAGGTTTAGAAAGGAAGTAGCTAAATTAAAAACAAAAACTCAATTATGAATTGACCGATAGTACAAATAATCTATTTTAATGGACTTTGTCACCAATTCAGACTTGATTATATCTAACAAACTCCTAAATGTTCTTTCTGTTTTGTGTGTTTGAGGTGTTTATGTGAGTATGGATCCGTCACTGTCTACCATTGTTTATTAATTTCTTTCTCCATGTATTTGTCAACATCTCACTTGTCTGTGTGTGTAACTGTGAATCCATTTTTCCATAATTTCTGTGTGTATGTGGGTACTCTGTCTTTGACTATCATCATACATCTGCCTGTCTGTCTGCCTCTAGTCAACAAAGAAGAGGTGGTCCAGAAAGCTCGTCCAGTCTCCAGCGACGTAGGAAGCACCAACCCAAACTTCTCTGACCTCATGGATGAGTTTATCCAAGAGAGACTGAGGGCCAAAGGGACAGCAGTGAGTACAACATACACACTGATTAAAATTTGAGGTTCAGAGTCATAAAACGGAGAAGCTGAAACTACTATGTCTTTGCAATACACAGGGCCGTCGTGGCAGCAGCCCAGGAAGTCTGGAGGTTCCCAGGGACCTGCCGGAGCTCCTAGAGGCAGGCCAGAGTCCCGGATCCCGTCCTTCAGATGATCACCGTCCCATCGATGATCCGGGGGTTCCCTCTGAGTGGACGTCACCTGCAAGTGCCAGCGGCTCTGATGTAATCAGCTCAGACAGCCAGTCAGACTCCTTTAATGCCTTTCAGTACTCCACCTGCAAGTTTGAAAGTAAGGAACAAAACACCTAATACATACAAACTGAGGCATATATATATATCATAATTTGAGGTTTTGCCGTACGTGTTTTTTCATGTTGATGGGAATGATGGATGAAAGTTTGAATAGTCAAAGAAGGTAAGTTTATCTTTGCTGAAGGAATGCCTAAGCTGTTGGATCAAGGTATTTACACTATCACTACCACCATTACTACCTTTAACATAAATTTAAGGGGAATCCTGCGTATCAATGATTTCCCTTAATTTGGAAACCTTATAAAACCCTATATAAGCCCTGATAGATGTATAATGGTCAACATTTCTTCTGCAGATTTTACTTTCAGTTCGGAAGCATGTGGAGGAGGAGCTGGATCTGGAGGCGGAGGTCGAGGCAGTTCTCTGGATCAGGACAGCCTGGGAGGGGGTGTGGCCTGCGAAGAACATGAAGTAGCCAGTTTGACAATGCTTCACCTTGACTCGGAGACCAGCAGCCTCAGCCACACTGTCACTGTTACTGGTACGCACATGACAATAGATCTCTCTAGCTACTGTGTACTTTTTTTACAGCCGCCATTTTGACATAAAATAGTAGGGTAAACGCAGCTATCACCAATGACACTAATTAAGGTTCTGGTCTATTCAAGTTAAATAGAGTCAGGAAGCTGCAGTTGTCCATGTTGGCTCACTGAAAAGGCTCCGCTACAATTAATGCAACGGAAACGAACTAGTGTCATTGGTAACACCAGTGTTTAACCTATTATTGTAACTACTCTACTCTACATGTCAAAATGCCTTATTAGGCTAATATTCATGTGCACACAAACCAACAGCCTAACTATTACATATTGTTATTATTATTGGGTGGATAGGTTTTTTTTACAATTTGGCTGACAACCCCTGAACTGGCTGAAATGGCAAAGAATTCAGTCTCCTGGGGAAAAAAAAAACAGTGCAGGACTTGTTTTTCAAATGTTTTCTTCTCCTTGTCATGTGTACTGTATATTTCTTTGTCCAGGTTCTGAGAGTGCATCTCCCATGCACTCCCTTGGGGGCTCTCGCTCCCAGACGCCCTCCCCTGCCACACTGACAGCAGAGCACACTGATCACACACACTCTCACTCACATACACACCTACAGCTGGACCAGAAGCTCCATAACTCTGTCCTGCAGACACCCGATGACCTGGGTAATACTCACACAGACACTCAAACATCCAATTCCTTCTACTGAGGTCTCAGCTGTGAATGAGAGGCTGGGGTTACTGACTGATTCATTGATTGATTCTAGAAACCAGCGAGTTCCCCAGCGAGGACTGCAGTGTGATGGCGGGTGGCACTCTAACTGGATGGCACGCAGATGTTGCCACAGTAATGTGGCGGAGGATGCTGGGTATCCTGGGGGATGTCAATAGCATCAAAGATCCAGAGATCCATGCTCAGGTCTTCGACTATCTGTGTGAACTGTGGCAAAACCTGGCCAAGGTGCATACTGACACACAACTATGACACAACACTTTCTTTAAAGATTGTGTTTTTTGTGTAAAAATTACACTTTTCTTTTCAGATAAGAGATAATTTGGGCATTTCTCTGGACAACCAGTCGTCACCCCCTCCCCCTGTTCTGATCCCACCCCTGAGAATCCTCACCCCCTGGCTCTTTAAGGTAAGTGTGACTGTGGGATCACTATAGGACCTCTGATGTTCATTACATTGAGATCTAGTTACACAGGAGTATGAGAACCATTTTTATTCTTGTAGCTTTTATTTCACTTGTTTATGCTTACGTGTGTGTCTGTGTGGTTGTGTTTTCCTACAGGCCACCATGCTTACAGAGCGTTACAAGCAGGGAAAGCTTCATGCCTACAAGCTGATCTGCAGGATCATGAAGAGACGGCAAGATGTTTCCCCAAACACAGATTTTCTCACACACTTTTACAACATCATGCACCAAGGACTGCTGCACCAAGACCAGGTAGAGTGTGTGTGCAAGTGTTATAATGGTAACAAAAACATGAACTACAAAAAATTACATTTAAAGACAATACACTAACAAACCTCATCTTAATTATAGAGTTTAGAAAAACTATTATGTTAAGATAACATTTTTACAGTACTTTAATACTGTATTCATCACTCAAACAAAATGTATAATGTTTATGAGTTAAAGTTTACACTGCTTAAGAATAAAGGATGGAATATGGGCTTTTTGTAAATGTCCTCCAGCTGTAGCTGCTATAGCTATAGGAGTGTGTTTAAAGCAGCATTTGTGGTGTCTACAGGACATTGTGAACACCATTATAAAGCACTGCAGTCCCAGGTTCTTCAGTATCGGGCTACCTGGAGCCACCATGCTGATCCTGGACTTCATCATTGCAGCTACTAGAGTCACTGCCTGCTCATCACTAAATGTAAGACCTGTTTACACACATGTACAGTACAAGCTGGCACATACATTGGATGTGACGTTTCTTTTATCCTTCTTTATGCTTTCTTTTTGTCTCTATCCTTCCCTCTACTTTCCAGGCTCCAAGAGTAGAGGCCCAGATCCTGCTTGGATCTCTGGTGTGTTTTCCCAACTTGTATGGGGAGCTTCCAGCCCTCCATCCCACCACAGCTGATGTGGTGCTCACCAAGTTCTCTGACGTCAAGGTAGGTGGAAACAATAGTAGTTTGGGTTTGAGGGGAAAGTCATAAAGCCTCTGTCCTTGGGAAGTATCATTATTCTTTGTGATAGTATAATTGTAAACCACTGTAGATTTGGGAGAAGAGAGGAATAATGCCAAAAAACTGTCACCAAATCAAAACAAGTCAGCATGCTTTAAAACTGACATCCACAAAAGCATCAGGTCAGACACTTAAACCAAACTTTATCAACTTTGTGTGTAGTCTAAACCTTGTAATACATATTTCTGCCATCCATAGGGGGTCTCGGAAACCAAACTAATAGGTTAATGTCTCATCAGTCATTCTTGTAACAGTCCAGAGCTATGGGAGTAATGTTGTTATTGTTGTTGTTGCTCTGTAAACCGTTAATGCCATGCGTGGTAGCAACTCGGGCCCGCTCACTGGTTTCTTACAAGGCAGAAACTCGTTTTGAATCAGTAAGCGGCCATTAACACTGACCGGAGGGACGGGACCAGTGAGTGTGTGAATGTGTCTGAGGGTGTGTGTAGGTAAGTCTGTATGTGTCCATCTTTAGTGCTGCATGTTTGTGTTTCACGTATATTAACACCTCCATAATGTAAGTCCCAGAATCACTTTGCTCATTATCTGAAAAACCATCAGAGTGTTTGAGCACTTAGTCATTCTCTTCATTATAGACTCCCGGAGAAACTTTATGTGTGGGACCTTCACATAATGGACAGAGCTTCCTGGTCTGTAAAGTGAAGCGAATGCATAAGTTCCTTAAACGAAGGAAGGAAATCCGATTGTATCGACTGCAATGGCAACAAGTCTTCTTCAATACAGCACGATGTTCATGTTGTAAATTATGGCCCCATTTAGAGTAAAATACATGAAAATGCAGGGTGTGTTTTTGGGGCATGGCTACCTTATGATTGACAAGTAATTTTGCAGCGAGTCCCTCCAGCGCAACACATAAAAGATTCAGATCAAACTGTAAAACTAGGCTGTACTGTTTATCTGTACACAGCCGAACTCACAGTACGTCACCTACCAGCTCCATGCTGCTGTTCAAAAATGGTAACTTCTGGTTCCAAAAAAAAAAAATTAAGATGGCAACATTTGAGCCTTCAAAAAAGTAATGGGTGACATCACAGTGGGTTTACACTTGTGCAGAACCAGTGCTTTGTATTGTTTAAGGCAAATAAACTGAGTTTGTCTGTATGCTTTGTTTTTTAGGAGCACGTTATCAAAACCATCCTGACCTCTGCCAGGGACGAACCCTCTGCTCCTGCTAGGTAAGTGTTAGTGTTACAACAGATCATCTGACTGCACCTGACTGTTCACTGCTTGCCAATATATTTTTATTTTCTGTTGGTTGGTGTGTGTATAAATTGGGTCTCCAGTGAATCAGTATACATAATTTGTGTGGCTCTTTGTATGTCTATGTGTATAACAGCAGCATGTATTCACAGGTTTCTCATATTATATATGTGTTTTGTTTTAGGTGTGTGGCTCTGTGTAGTCTGGGTATCTGGCTGTGCGAGGAGTTGGCTCATGGGACTCAACATCCACAGATTAAAGATGCTCTCAACGTCATCTGTGTCACTCTGAAGGTCAGTCACAACGCTGTACTGCTTTTAAAAGCATTGGCTTTGTTGCATCCAGGCTCTAAAATTCAACTTCATGAACTTTAAACACAAACTATAAATTAGTCATTGTAATATAAATCTGTAAGGGTCACCCGAGCTGAATAAGATTATCTCATGCAGCCTTTGGCCTCTGTCTGTTCAAACTTTGTCCCTGCTGACCACAATACTCCCTCTGTCTCTGATCCAGTGGGATCAGACCAAAGCAATGAATCTATATCAGACAGACTGCTGATTGGCCGCTTGTTACACTGATCTACACAACACTGTAGTGTCTGAACATCTGGTCCTCTTCTGTCTGGATTTTTGATTAGGCCTACTTTAGTTTTAAAACATTAATAAAACTTTAAAGATTTAAAGTAGTAAAATCATGAAAGCGGGTTATGTAAAAGTCAAATGTTAATTGTACATTTTCATTGTAGTTTTTGCATATTTATATGAAATTTGATGTCACACAATGAGAGGACTGAACTTAGGTACAACATTGTTATGTGTTGTGTGGTTAGCCTGCTGTCATCCAGTATTTTATTGCTTTTTCAAACTTCAGAGTACTCATCCATAGACACTGTGTAATAACTGTTGTTCTTTTAATGCATTCAATTGGAAAACACAAGACAACACAAAGACAATCAATGGGATTAGAAATCTTGCTTCAAATGAGGGAGGGTGGAGCTGGTTAAAGTGAGTTGAAACACACCAAAATGCTGCCTGAAAACTGGACATTTGGGATGTAGATGTGTTTAACATGTCTGGCTGCTGGGAGCCAAAGTATGATGGAAAACATTGTTGGAGATGGTTGTTAGTGTTGGTGAAATTGCCTCAGTTGGTATTGTCTGTTTCAGGCCACTAGACTGGGAGGCCTGTGGACCAGAATAATACTGTCCAATATTTACTGTCTCATCTATGGCCAAGTGGCTCTAGATGGACACACACACACACACACACACACACACACACACACACACACACACACACAACACACACACACACACACACACACACACACACACACACACACATACCTTTTCCACCTTGGAATCCCTAGCTTGTGTATCGGCAGCCAATGGCCTGCTAAGACATTACAGCAACACACACACACAGTTGCATTCACCTACTCCTGGGAGCAAACCCTGGACTGTCAATATGTTTGGTCCTCCTTCAGATAGGAGACTAATCCAGAGGGAATGCTGCAAGCTGTCTCTCTCTCTCTCACTCTCACTCTCACTCTCACATACACACGCACGCACGCACACACACACAGTATCACATATGTACACACATCTTCTCCACTTTTACATCTCTTGCCTTCATACCAGCAGCCAGTAGCACCAGACATGGATTCTGGGATGCACACACACAATCACATACACAATGAGCACACGATACAAACAACAATTACAAGAAAACCTATTCTGAATACTACAACTGATAGTTTAAAACATAATGACCAAGCTTTTTGTGGACACCGATTTGAAGCAATTGTACTTTTCTTTATACTGTGCATTATTACTTTATATGAGACATAGACTTGATAATCCAAAAAAGTTCAATGTCTGTAGATGTGGGTCAATTTAATTAAAATGTGCCTCATCCGCTGTTTATATTGTTGGATCATTGTTGCAGATGTAAATGGCATACATACATAAATTGGAGTATCACAGATTTACTGACATAATAACAGGTCATAATTATTTATAATAGGTATAACCTATTCCCTAGCATATATCATTTCCTCCATCTCCCCTCTTTCATTACATTTATTTTTATTATTTAAAGTATATTAGTTTATAGTATGTTAATTAAAATTTTAATGTAACCACAGAACCTAATACTTTTTATTAGTGGTCAGCTGATATGGGTTTAATGGGCCAGTATAATTCCATTATTCCATGCAAAAACAATGAACGTTTTAGATGGATTGTTGATTAATTAATGAAGTAGAGAACTACATTAGGTTATGCTGTAGATTTCAGAATGTGACTGGTATTTAAGAGAGGGGTACAGTGTGTCAGATGAGACATCATTCAACTGCATTATTATATACATTATAACATAATATATATATTTAGCACTAACCATTAAAGATTAGATTAGATTAGATTAGATTAGATTAGATTTGCTGTTATTAAGGAGAAAATAAGATTTTTTTGTTTATTTGCCATGTGTGCACAGGCATCGATGCTGATTATCTCAAACTAATGCCAGTTAATTGGCACAATTAATTGGTCTATTACTTGTGTGTTTCATCACCCAGTACCCCAATAAGAACGTAGCACTGGTGGCGTCTGATATCCTTCACCTCCTGATCAGTCATGTGGATCATCTTCAGAAATTCCCCCCCGACACTCCAAAGAAGATCGTAGAGGTGAGACATAAATTAATGTACACTTCTGAACAGTTATCGGAATATGTCCAAACACTGGCTTTATTTATTATTCATCAAGTCACAATTAGCGTGTCCACGCTTCCTGATGGATTAAATCGTATGATGTAAAGCAAAGGCCTCATTTAAATACATTGAATCACTTTTAAAATTTCCATTCATACTGTTGATTTGCAAATCTAACATTATATTTTCTTTTAAATGTATTATCTTTTTGTAGCTGTCATTTTTTACTAGTAGCTGCTTTAACGTAGAAAACTTTTTTCTGTCATTTTTATTAGATTTTGATCGCCACCATCACATACTTGCTGCCTACTACGGAGTCCTCTCCACATGAACTGGATAAGAGGGTAACACATACATACGTACATGGATTTTTTTTTTACTATATTACTCATTTAGCTTAGAAAGTAACCTTATACCTATGCATCCCTGTGTGTGTTGCAGCTGGTAGTGTCCCTCCTGTTGTGTCTGTTGGACTGGGTGATGGCTCTGCCTCCAAAGACTCTTCTTCAACCTGTTCAAACACGAAGCCCCCCAGACAAGGACCAGCCTACCAAGACTCTGCTCAGCTGCATTTATAAGGTCTGTGTTTGTGCAGCCCTTAACAAACTCACTCACTCACTCTATTCACATGAATGTTTAGCAGTGATCACAGAAATGTGAAAATAAGCATTTTCTATCATAATGAAGCATCAGTGCAGTAAAGTTGAAAATGGGCTATAAATGAGTGGACTTAGAGAGACTCAGTCTGAAATAGTATCCTTTCTCCTTTAAAAATGTGTCTAGGTATTGCATGGTTGTGTGTATGGAGCCCAGTCTTTCAACAGTCCCAAGTATTACCCGCTGCAGCTGTCAGACCTGCTGAGTCCAGACTACGACCCGTTCCTACCATTAGAGAGCCTCCGAGAACCAGAACCCCTGCACAGCCCGGACTCTGAACGCTCCAGCAAGCTACAGCCTGTCACTGAAGGTATTTAATCTAACACCAGAGGCACACTAGGTAACTGTTAATCCCCTTATTATTGCCATCATTTGGTGTCTTTACCGATTTACAACATGTAGAAATAAGCATGTGAACATGTATTTTGCTGTTCACATGGTTAGAAATATACAAGACCGCACCCAGTACATATCTATATATAGAATGTAACACCAACACTTATTGTCACCAATGAGACAAAATGACCTAGAGTCGTCCAAACCACTGCCAATCACTAAAGATGAAAGAAGTTACGTGTATGTGTATGTATGTGAGTGCACCTGTCTGCATCCGTGTGAGAGTGTGTATTGTCCCCTGCTGTGGTCCACCAGGACACAGTGTCTCATCTAATGACTGGAGCACCCTAATAGACCATGCCTCTCTTTCTCTTCTCTTTTTTGTATTTTCTTGTCTTAACTGTTTCACTTCCTTTCCTCTATTATTCTTTTTACATTATTCTCTGCTAATATATTTTTTGTTTACTTTACACGGCTTCTATGTTCATTTCTTTCCTCTTTTTCCTTTTTTTCTTCTTCCTCCTGAGCTCTCCTGAGGTTTTAGGGAGTCATTGAGAATGTCTGGTCAATACATATCTGTACTCTACACACAGCTCTGTCAATAAGGAGCTGTTGGAAAGCGTGTGTGTGTGCGTGTCACAGTGTGTGTGTAATGATGTTGATTAGCCAGGATCTGCTGGCAGCACAGTGTGTGATGGCATTGGCTTCTTCTCAGCATGAGGCAAACTATGTACAAGCTTGAATGTGTCTGTACCTCCTCTGAGTTTTTACTGTAATTCCTAAAGTTTTGTTGTAACTTGGAACCTAAATATCAAGTCAGAGTAACAGTTACACCTTTTAGTCCACTGAAGAATAGAATTTAGAAACATACTTTTAATACCTGGTACCCTAAATTTATTTTTTTCAGAGTAATATATATCCACTGTCTGTATTTTGCTTCTCTGCAGTTCGCAGCCGTATTCAGCAGGGCCTTGTTTCCATTGCAGCCAGAACAGTTATCACGCACTTGGTCAACCATCTAGGACATTATCCAATGTCTGGAGGGCCTGCTACTCTGTCTAGTCAGGTACTGTTACTGTGTGTGTCTGATAATAATAATGTAATAATGGTACATGGATGATGTACTTGTTTGTGCTGAAGGAAAAGGATGAAGGAAGAAGGATCTATATGTTTCTTAATACTTTTATTTAAATCTTTGCGTTTTACTGAAGCAGCACTATGTCCATGTTTTCTAGGTGTGTGAAAACCAAGACAACCCGTTCTGTGAGAGTGCAGATCTCGGACCAGAGCTTTTCCATTCACCAAACCTACAGTTTCTGGTTCTGAACGGCTCCACGCTGCTCTCAGTGTATCAGGTAACCTCAACTGAAAGAAAGTTGCCCTGGCAAAAGTTGACCCTTTTTGTGTGTTTCTAAGCCAAAGCTGAAGTTGCAAAACAGTGTAATGGCCATTGCTGAGCATGTTCGTTATTTACTTGTCCCAATGATGCAGCAGATGCCCATCTACAGCTGGTACAGACTGTAACAACGAAGCTTCTGACAAACACATCTCATGATGAAATATTCAGTTTACTAGATAACAGATTCTATTGATTATTTTAAAAGCCCTCCATGGTTTGACATTTTATATATATATATATATATATATATATATATATATATATATATATATATATATACTTTTAACCCCTTATTCTGCACCAAGCTCCAAAACTTTGGAATCCACTCCTTCCCAGTGTCAGATCAGCAGGTGTGTTGTCGGTTGCCATTTTCATAATTTACTAAACCAGTAAACTATGTTTTTCTTTTTATACATTTGTATGCAAAAGTCTGGCCTCCCCTTGACAAATAACGCATTTTGGAAACATGTAAACAAATCCTGTAATCCTGTAAATTTTGTAACATAAAACGCAATATTTGCAGAAAACATTTATGCATTGTTTCTTTTTATTTGATAAATTAAACCAAGATAAAAAACATTGCGGCATATGCAAAAGTTTGGGCAACCTACACTGTCAGTACATAGTAACTTTGCACCAGCTGACACTTCCAAATGACAGTAATACGAGCTGATGAACGTCTGAGACCTTGTAAAAAGAATCCGAGACTGCAGAACTCTTGCACATTTTTTGTTCGTGTTCAGTTTATGGAATAAAATGAAACTATGCATGTTTCCTACCAATATTGTGTTTTATGTTCCATACCCTAAAGAGAACAGGTTTTATAGGTTCTATAACAATAAAATGTAAAAAGTTGACTTATTTACTACATACTACTAACATTATATATTAATTACTGTAAGCATATTAACATTAATTTTTATCTTTTAACTGTAAGTGTGGCTCAGGTTGATGAAGTAAAACATAACACAGTGTAACTTTGAGTTAGAATGTACTGAGTTTATTTATTACTGATCACACTTACTTATTCTTTAAGTATGCTGATGAAGTTATAATGGATTTTTATTGATATTCCTTATAGAAAAATGTTCTACCAATTGCAAAGTAGAAGCTATAGCTAAAACGAAGCAAAGATTGAATAAACTGTTTAAAGGAAAGTTCAAGTTTAGCTTTAAGGCAAAATGAAGATGCTGCAACTCAGAATGATTTCCTTAATATGTGGTACATTTAGTGTATAACCATTGTCCCTCATGTTCCTCTATTTCCCAGATCCGATCTGAGTCCGGTGTACCAGGAGGCGGAATGACAGCCGGTTTGTCTTCTGCTCCAGCTTGCGTTCGTGTCATCATCCGAGATGTGGCTGGGAAACACTCATGGGACTCTGCCGTTCTCTATGGGCCTCCACCATGTTCCCCAAGCAGCCCGACACACACATTTCTGTCACACACACAATCACCTCACAGTGCGAATCTTCATTTACGCACCCCACCAGGAGGTCCACCAAAAAAGATGGGAGTGAAGAGAGAAGACAGCGAAGAAGAGGGGCAGGAGGAGAGGGAGGCAGAGGAAGGAGGAAGAGGGATGGAGAGTGAAAGGCAAGGGTTTCAGGAAGAGGAGGAGGAGGATGACGAGGAGGAGGAGGAAGGAGAGGAGAGGAAAGTCAACGAGGACGAGAAGGGTGATCAAAGAGGAGGTGAAGGAGACGTGGGAGAGGAGGAGCAGGAGGAGGAGGAGAAGAACGAGAATAGGATGGATGGGATTGGTGATCGAGAGGAGTCGGGCTTAGAACAGCTTCTAGCTCCGCCATTGGCTAAACGTGTGTGTCGGGAGGCAGTGCCAGCATGGGACTCACTGACAGAGGGGGACGATGCACTGGATGAAATGCTGCAATACCTGGGATACTCGAGTCCAGAGTGCCTGCAGAGAGCAGGTAGACTAACACACACTCTGTAATGATATCCTTTTTGGTTTCCTTCAGACTGTTTCAGTGAGCATTTTACATCCCCGAATCCTTTCTGTAAAAACATAGCATTAACTCAGAGGTGAACACAGACTAACCAAAGTCTAATTTCACAATCTTTGTCCTTTCGTTACAAAGAGAACAAAACAGAGAAAAGATTGTTTACAGTCAACGTTGTCTCATGATTGGTTTCCTTTAGGCATGCCGCTCAACATACCAGCCCCTCCTCCAGCGTGTGTTTCAGAAAAGCAGGAGAACGATGTGATCAATGCCATCCTGAAACAGAGTGCTGCTGAAAGAGAGTTCGTCCTTCATGTACGTAGTATCCTTATTCATATGAATAGAATGAGTTTTACCTCTTTGAATCTTTTGAATCTTTTGAATTGGTAGTGCCCAGCATGTCCCGATGAAGTAGATACTCAAATACTGGTGGCTACAGACTAATACTGCTTCGCAATAATACAGGAAGTAAAAGACAAATCACAAGCTGTTTCAACCCTGCAGTCAAACTTACTTTAACCAAGACGTTTTAATGTTGCAAAACATATAGTGGGGATTTGGTCTGTCAGTAAGGTTGAAACCTAGCTGCATCAAACAATGTAATGGGCCAGTGTGTAAGATTTAGTGGCATCTAGCAGTGTAGTTACAGATTACACCCCCCTAGAAGAAACTACGGTGGCTGGGAAACTCACAAAAGGCCTTATCTAGAGCCAGTGTTTGGTTTGTCCGTTCTGGGCTGCTGTAGAAACATACCGGACTGTAGATAAAATGTCTATTCTAAGGTAACAAAAACACAATTCTTATTTTCAGATGATTACACACAAATGAAAATATACCTCTGAATATTATATTCCATTTCTGCCAATAGATACTTCCAAATATTACACACTGCACCTTGAATCAACTTGGCACTATTGTTGTTTCTTGTGATAACCATGAATCATTCTGGCAAGGTACAATAACAACAAAGTGCACAGCTTTCTTAATGCACTAAATAATGGTTCTATAACTTTGATTGTGGCTTTGTTCATCAGTCAGTGTGACTTTTGTGAGGCGCTGACAAAAAAATATTATCCAGACTAAGGTCTCATTGCTGTGATATTTTTGAAAATCATCACAAAATAATGCTTTCTGGATGCCTCTGTACTCTGGTAGTAATCTGATATGATTTGTTCATATTGGCATAAAAAAAAATATTTTTCTCAGTCATGCCGCTTTCTCTTTAATTTTCATGATATTTATTATTTTAATCCCTCACATTTTTTGCATGAAACTGAAATGTTGGATGTTTCAGAGAGGCGAGGAGTTGAACATGAGGGCAGTGCAGCAGACTGAACCAGAGACTCAGACACCACAGTCTGCCTTCTACTACTGCAGACTACTGATCAACATACTGGGACTCAACTCCTGGGAAAAGAGGTGAGACCAGACACAGACATAAATATTCTAAAAAGAGATTCTAATCTTTTAAAAACAAACAGTAACATTCATATATCAATAATAACATATATAACACTGACAGTCATTTTGTTTTTTTGTATCTTTCTCTTGACTTTGTTGTGTCAACCTATGGTGTTCATTCAGATATTTCTTCTTTATTGACATTCTTAACGTGGCATTTTTTATTGTTTAGTTTACTTTTATGGAGAAAAGAATCTACTTGTAAAAGAAGTGGCTTATTTGACTCCACTGCTTGCATATTGCTTATAAATCTGTAGGGAAAACCATGATTAAAGAATTAAGGACTCCTAAGGAGGAAGAGTTTTCTGTTTTGTACATGTGTGGGAAGTCTTTTTTTCATTATTTTTTGTCTCCCCTAGAACAAACCAAATGCCTCTTGAATGCAAATGAGACAAACATTTCAAATTCAAAAAAGTATTTTGTGCTAATTAGACACCCACGTTTTCCCATTCACATGGTGCAGCATTTCATCTTCTCAGTGACTCTGGGCTAAAATACACAATGTCAAGGTATCACTTTAAATGTGTCTGGCCAGCTAATGGACACTCATCACTCTTTATACTTTATCCTGGGAATTACACCGTCTGCATTCAGCCTGCACAATAGACTTCTTAACACACTGCGTGCACGTGTCTGTGTGCTCGTTTGTGTGTAAGAGAGTGTGATAATGAGTATATAGTACTCTATTGATCAAACTCAACCCATTTGGAGTTAGAATAAAGGGCAGTAGTTGAAGAAGAGAATGGTGGGGAGAGAAGTGGCAAAACAGGATGAATAACACATGAAGATGGAGAGTGAGAATAAAAAAACTGTAATAAAAAAAGAAATGGAGCCAAAATCCAAAAATCAGAAGGTAAAGCTAAAGAAATTGGGATTGTTGGAGAAGAGGATAGACAGATGAGAAAGAAAGACAAAAAAAGATTGCTCTAATCATCTGTTATTGTCCCCTTACGTCTCTCCAGGTATTCATATGGGACATTACACATACTAAGATACTGACAGTCAACCGTGCGTGTGTGTGCTTTTTTGTGTGTGTGTGTGTGTGTGTGTGTGTGTGTGTGTGTGTGTGTGTGTGTGTGTGTGTGTGTCCCCTTTTATGCTTTTCCCTATAATCCAGAGTGTAAATGGAGTCTTTGAGAGCAGAGAATGAGGCCATTACCAAGTATCAGTTTAATAAAGAGCAAATTGCTGTCTCTCTCTCCCTCTTTATCTCCCGCTCTTTCACTCTTTTTTTCTCTCTCTCTCTCTAAGAGTGAAAAGAATGACGTGTCATTATCAGTCCACTCCAAGCCTCACTGCTCAAGTCTTGGTTTTGTATCAGCGGTGTAGAGATTGGTGGCTGGTCGCTGGGACATTTTGAATGATCCATAGACTTGTTAGTTGGTATAAAGGCCTTTTGTTTTGACTAATAAATAGGGTTTTGCCCTTTTCTATTTGGAACCTGAAAGCTGTGATGACACTAGCTGTGGTCATCATGAAATATTTGCTCATTTACAGTTTTCTCACAGTAATAATAATAATATGCAGTAATATATATTTTTTATAGCTAGAGCTGAGGCAACAGAAGTGCTTGTCGGATGGTTGAACACAACCAAAAACGCAATAGTTCCTACATCTTCTTTATCAGTCTTGTGATCTCTAAAACCTCCATATTCTTCCTTTTTAAATGTTTTTCCATCTCTTTCAAATGTCAAAACGACATCTGACAAATGGTGGACATGGCAAAGTTGTTTTTCTATATTTTTAACCAGGTGTCAGAGAATCTAGGTGGCCTTATTTTAAGGAGTTTACCAGTCAGTTACATTTATTATCAACAAGCTAAATATATGTTTGGAAGGTCACGGAAACAGCTCTTGGATTTCAGTTTTGTTGTTCAAAGAATGTTGATGATGCCGACCTGCTGACAATTTTCAATGCAACATTACTAAAAGAAGTTTATTGGTGACTGTGAGGGGCCAGATTTTACATTTATCATGCTGGAGGTTTCGAAATTGAAAAAGGAACAAGCAAACTTCTTAAAAAAACCTCATGTTTTACTGACATGCAAGCTATTTGGTGAATCATTCTTCTGTTGATGGAAGTTATGTTCCACAGTCTATGTGAAATCTGCTGATGTTTTGAGAGTTTACTTACAAAGCTACTTTTAAATTCATCTCATGTATATAGCATATATCTTAAAACCTTAAACATCACCTCTTTTTTATGCATCTATTAATAAAGGTTTGTCTGTCTTGTTTTATTTTTCTGAAGCTTTTTTGGTCTTTTTCACCAGAGCTCCTGCCGGCTCTACTTAATGTATTTTTTAACAATGATTCCTAACCTGTGCATGTGTCTGTGTCTTACAGAAGTAACTTTCATTTGTTAAGGAAGAATGAGAAGTTATTGAGAGAGCTGAAGAACCTGGACTCACGGCAGTGGTGAGAAAATATTTGAACTGTCAAGCACCTCATGTCATTAACTGCACTGAATAGGATTCAAAATGAAAGGTTCTTTAAATATTGATTTAAATGTAGTTAACAACTCTGAACTCTAGGGTTCTGAGATTCAGTAAGTTATGCTGTGCCCCATTTCATCCCAGCTCTTGACCCTTACCTGCTCACAATCTGATTTTGTGTGATAATTAATAACATACTGGTGTCCTGATTCAAAACCCACAAACATCATAGAATTGTTTGAGGGAAACTCTGAAACAAACTGAAGGGTTTAGGAGGAAGGACTTGGATAAAACCTTGGGAAAGTAATAAACGTGTAGAAATTGCTGAAATAACAATTCATTTTTACTTGGTCATTATTGGTTTCCTTCATTCTCCTCTAGTCGTGAGACTCATAAAATAGCAGTATTTTATGTGGCTGAGGGCCAAGAGGACAAACACTCCATACTAACCAACACAGCGGGCAGCCAAGCTTATGAAGACTTTGTCTCTGGACTGGGATGGGAGGTAAGAACTAATTAATTTAAGTAATCTTAAATGTTCTGACATTGTCTTCTTTAGAAATTCAAATTGCATGTTTATCTTTAAATTGTTTCTTTTAATGTAAATACAATTTACTCCATCTGATCTGATCTTCAACTAATATTTGATTCATTATCATATCATTTGTGATTTAACTGTTAAAAGATAAGAAAAGTGACTTACTGGTGTTAGCAGCACAAAATGTTCCTAGAAACAATTTTTCCTGATGTCTTTTCTTTTTAATATGTCATCTTGATGTGCTGGTTAAAGAGTTAAAACTGCAGCTTGTTTTTTTTATTATTATTGTAGGCTTCAAGGCAGTAAAAAGCTAGAAAGGGGGTTAATATTTTGTATCCTGTATGTCATCATATGTGTCTGCGTTTGTCCCATAGGTGGACCTCACTACTCACTGTGGCTTCATGGGAGGTCTCCAGAGGAATCGCAGTACGGGCCAAACTACGCCTTACTACGCCACCTCCACTACTGAGGTCATTTATCACGTCTCAACCCGCATGCCCCATGACCAGGACCACAACCTCACCAAGAAGGTAACACAAACCTATCTAACTGGTCACTTGTCATCTGGGGTTTTTTCTTTAGCCTCTTCTGTCCAGCTAATGGAAGGGAACCTAATTGCGTGTTTGTTGCTGGGGGAATTTGAACAACTCTCAAGCAAATCTCAAAATTCTGAAATGTCACTTTGTGTGACAGTTGGATGGAAACATACCTTCTACCTGTCAAGAATTCTGCATCTGTCTGTCCCATTATCTACTGTATTCTACTTTGAAACTGCAGTCGAGTATGCGGTGAGAGTAAGTAATTAGTGATAATAAGCATACTTATTGTTGTTGCCCTAATTTCACTCCTTTTATTTAATGAGGCGAGATGTGCAGTGAGAGGAGAGGAGGAGGAGGAAAAATCCTCTGTAATCCTCGTCACCCTTCTCCATTCCCTTTTGATTCCTCCTTCTTTTCTTCCTTCCGAATCTCTTTCTTTGCCCGGAATGACACTGCAAATGTGCAAAGGTTGCTGCGCACGCACGCACACACACACACACACACACACACACACACACACACACACACACACACACACACACACACACACACACAGCGTCTCCAATGATTCTTAGTAGTAATCATGTCTGTGTTTGTGTGTCGTGTGGGCCTGTATCAGTGTCTAGGCAGGCAGGTTTATTGTGTGTCTGTTTGTGTGTGTGTGTGTGTGTGTATGTGTGTGTGCACACCTGTCAACCCCCAGGCACTGGGTGCTCTGCACATGGCCATAATGTCCCTTTAATCAGATCATACTTCCTGCTTCTCGGCCTATCACGTCGCTGCAGGCTCCTGATTGGATTATCAGCGCCTGGTCCGACACCATCCGTCTCCCTGATCAGCTGATGGCCCCATCAAACACGCATACTCGCATACACACACACACGCACACACACACTATAAACCTGTTTAACTTGACACAAACACACATCCACTAAGGGCTTTATTCACATCAGTCTGCACAAATAACCACACAACTATAAATTTGTGTTAATGTTGGACACAGAAGCACTCACACACGCAGGTTTACAAACACATACACTCACAGTTTGACAAATGTGTCCACAAAGAGAGGTTAAACTGACAGACTTACACATGTCCATACTGGCAGGCATTTATCGTCCATCCTTCTGCCCCACACACACACACACACACACACACATTAGCCCATTGTAGGGCATTTGTCCAGTTTCCACTCTTTGCTGTGTGCTCTGCTCTCTCTCATACCAAATCTGCTTGAAACATGAAACATGATTAAAAGGATTAAAACTGCATTACACCAACTGATTGTGGCATCAGAGATGACATCACTCTGATCGTTTTAAAATATTGATAAGGCTCAGAGAAGCACATCAGACAGCAAGACTCCTATTTGCCTTATTATACTGTGCCACCTAATTGTTCTGACACCCAAAAATACAGCTCAAAGGTCATAATTCAAACTCTCCAAATGCGATAATGGCAGAGCCGTGAGTTGTGTGTCTTACTGACACTTTGAATTGCAAGCTCCGCCAGAGGGAAGTGCCTCTGAAAGATTTATTTTAATTAGAACTGGATAAATACATTTTTATTCTTCATGTGTTTTCCAAACTCTACCTAATATATCAGTAGTCAAAAAAATATCAGGCTAATTAAACCTATAACTCAAATTTTAAATTCAAGTAGTCATTATGGCAAGTGGGTGAAGTCACTTTCCAAACATGATGAATGTAAATCATGCAGTCCCACAGGCCTCCATATTAATTAATTCATCCTCAGGCTTATATGAGAATTGAGTGAGATGTAACAAACAAAATTACATTTCATTATACTGTTGCATTGTGTGATGAAATGTGGACATCTTTTTGGGTCAACAAATCCCTTCCGTTTATGCAGACAAATTATACTTCTTCAAAAAATCTTGACAGAGGACAAAATGCACAACTGATTCCAGTTCAAACACACATTTAGAAGGAAATATCTATAATGTGTTTGTCTCAGGGCCAAGGCCAAGAGCTGCAGAGACGTCTGTGTGGGGTTGTTTGTGTGTGTTTTGGCAGACATCAAGGTTAATGACAGAGCTGTCACCAGCTCTGACTGTAGCCCACCAAGTGAATATGAAACACACACACACACACACACACACACACACACACACACACACAAAACACACACACACACACACACACACACACACACACACACAGAGAGAGAGAGAGCACAGAATCACACCACATCAGACTTGATCCCATCTGTCTTCCAGCCCATACTCCATCTTTCCGGAGCTTCACTCCGTCTTCGTGTCCACTCTCCATCTTCACACACTCACTCCATCACCCCCAAGGCCACCTATAGCACATTCACACACAAAATCAAAAGCCTTGGGTTTATGATGGATACAGCCCATCTACCGTCTGTGTGTGTGTGTGGTTGGCTGTGGTTGGCATTGACTTAGTTTGTGTTGTTTATGCTTCAAGAAAGAAAAATGTGAGATGTTTATTCTGTTTTGATTCTAGGATTCATTTCTCTTTTCTGTTCCTTCCTTTTCCAACTTGTCTCCCCCTCCCCCTCCAGCTTAGACACCTGGGTAATGACGAGGTCCACATTGTTTGGTCGGAACATTCCAGAGACTACCGCCGAGGGATCATCCCCACTGAGTTTGGAGACGTGCTAATCGTCATCTACCCCATGAAGAACCACATGTACTCCATCCATATACTCAAAAAACCAGAGGTGCAAACAATCTTCAGAATTTTCATATTGGACTCAAACTGGCAGTTGTCAATATTTTGTGCAGTTATTAAGTATCTCTGCATTTCATTGTTTCCTCGGAATCCTTTAAACTCATCATTAACACCCAGGAAGATAATCAAATCTCCCTCTGGGCTAATCAGTAATAATTGTACATATCACCTGTTGTGGAAGTGTAATTGTAGTGTGAATCATCGGCCAATCAGTGTAATTTAGCCACAGCTCTATTGGTCGCAAACTATTGGATTGCTATTTATCAAAGTTTATGCAAGTATTCCTGGTCCCCGGAAGATAAGTCCTTCTGACTTTTTCTCTAGTGCCACCATGAGACATTTATGGTTTTTCAGTGAAATGTTAGTTTGCAGAACTGACATTTTTTTCAGCTTCAGCTGTACTTCATGTATAGTGCTAATTAGAACTGAAGTAAGTGAAAACACAGAATTGTGAGCATGTTAGCAGGATAACATTATCATTTAGCTCAAAGCACAAGTGAGACAAATTAGTCTTGTGAATTTGGTCAAGAGTCAGTTATTAGGGTCAAAGCATGTAATAAACAGAAGAACAAATATAGAGAGACCAATCAGTCATCCAAATTAAACAGTTTAAAGTGACATAGTGGAGGGAATCATGTCATAATGTTTGAATCCTTATATTCTATGGATATTAAATGGGAATAAAATGGTACGTGTACGGTGTTTTGCTACCAGACTATACAGATATGCATCCAAATTGACCAACAATCCTAGAGAGAGTCTTGCCCAGAGTCTTGCTGCTCTGGCTAATGTATCAGTCTAAAACACACAGACGTTAATACCACAGCACTGATAGCATAATTCTATTTCAAACAAGACCTAACACAATAAAATGCTGCTTTTTCTGTATGACATAGATACCACAGCACTAATAACATAACCTTATTCTGTGTCATTCATTCTACAAGCTAAAATATTGAATTATCATGAATCCAAAAACAAGTTAGATAAGATATTCTCTGTGTTGTCGTCCTGAAAGCACTGTATTCAGTCACAGAGTGCATGGCTCAGAGACCTGGTCTCCAAATAAATTCAATAAAATGCCTGACATTATTCTCTTTGGTGGATTCCACAAGCAAAGTATGGAATTAAATCAGAAAGCCATAGCCTGAATCTGATAGTACATGGTTATAAAGAACTGTCATGTCAGTCATTACATTGAGAGATGTATGTCTTCCATAGGCTTCTATAGACAGTAAGTTCATTATTAACTATAAAAAGAAAAAAATAGTCATTTCTTTTTCCTGCCTTAAAGCCCGTTTCACTGCTTGTCTTTGTGTCTGTAGGTGCCATTCTTTGGTCCGCTGTTTGATGGTGCTTTAGTGGACATGAAGATTTTGCCCACCATGGTGAGAGCCACAGCTATCAACGCCAGTCGAGCTCTCAAGTCCCTCATTCCCCTATATCAGAACTTGTATCCTTTGAAAACCCTACTCTGAATATGCATAAACAGGATTAGAAGCCAAAGGTAGGTCACAGAAGACATTGTTTTGTTCATTGCCTTTGTGTCTAACTGGCTACCATGGTCAGCTCTTTAAAAGTTAGTTGTTTGCAGGCTCCCTTTAGCTACTTGAACTTGCTGGAATATAGTATCTGCAACATTGTGTCGACTGTTGAAATCCTTGCACGTGTGAGCAAGTATGCTGGTTATCACTCAGCTCAAGTGTTAAGAATAGCAAATCAATGTCCAGTGGTGTTGGGCTTTCAGAATATAAGTGCTAGTGTGATAGAGCTGTATTTAGTTGGCTCAGAAGTGCCATATATCAAGTGTGTGAGTTTGTCGTGCACGGCCGAGCAGACAAAGTTGTGATACACAGTTGGCGTGTGTACATCTGTGTGCATCTGTGTGTGCAGGAGAGAAAGAGAAACAGACAGACAGGTGTGCATACAGTTTGTCTGCTTGATCCGATGCGATGGTAGTTTAGGTTGGAAGAAGCCCAGCGGTCAATACTTATCGATGACTCTCCTCTCTAACGCTGTTTCTAAACGAGGGGCTTTGCTCTCTGGTCTTGCACACAGACACACACACACACTCAAATACAGACATGTGTCCACACTCATACACACACTAACAAACAGGGACAGAGGATGACACTCACATGGACACAAGCCCCTCAGAGGAACAGCAGTCTACAAACACACACACACACACACCATTGTGAGGTGACAGTGTCCCCTGTTGAGGCAAGCTGAGCTACTGACTGATCATTGGAATTTCTTCTAAGCAGCACTTAAAGCAATTTGATCCCCTAATGATACTGCCTTCCTGTCTCCCTGCTTGTCTGTCTGTTGTTTTCGTCTTTCCCTTCATTTCCCTTGTATCCAAATAAGTTCCATTTATTTGCATTGCAAGGTTTAGGATTCTGACTGCGATTGTTCATTGTATGAATTCTGGGTGAGTGCCAGAAGCAGTGCTTTAGCAAGGACACAGTAGAGTCATCTGGAGCATTTGGAGATCAGGTTATTACACCTGCAAAGTCATCTGTAACCTGGGATCACGTATGGCATACTAAGAAATTGTGTGGGGGGGGTTTTGTGTGTGTGTGTGTGGGGGGGGTTTGTGTGTGTGTGTTTGTATTTTATACTGCTTCCAAGATCATAAAAATATTGCTCCAAAACACCTTTGGTGGTAAGGAAAAAAACAAGGTAAAAGAAGAGACGGTCAGTAAATAAACAGCAGAAACGTTCATGTCTTTGGGACCATTTTAGTTTGAAAGCAGCTCCTTATGTTGTGCTAGCCACTGGGCTTCAAAATGAAGCCAGCAAATAGAGCAAGATCTGTAATTTGCAATCACAGCCTCTGCTAGCTCAGCTATCCCAAAGCACATGTGATAGCTGTTTACAAAGCTTGATAGCTGCCAGTGACATACCAGTACCATAGCAATATTTTATGCCTTATATCTAGAAGGGCAAGACCTTTCAAAAACGGTTAGGTCCCTCCCGTCAAGAATATGGTGGCATCCGTAACAATTAGCCACGCAACTAAAATTGCCAGGACAAACAATAGCATACACACTGTGGATAAACAGGTAAAAACTTGCTAGCCTACTGTAATAAACCTACAATAAACCCCCACGTTATCACACCCAATCTGTTATTCTTAGATTACATTGATATTTTCATTTTTGAAAAGCCATTTTATCCTGTTATTCCCTGTGTATCTTATCTTAATTCTCCACCTGCTATCCTGCCTCCTTCCTCTGGTCTTTTTCTTTGTCCTTGTCTGTTTTGTCCCTCATCCCTTTCTCCCATCTCTCCTTCACTGTGCTCTATCTCACTTTACTCTCCACTTGCTTCTTGTCCTTCATCTCTAAGTTCTCTTTCTTCCCCTCCGTCCAACCTTTCCTCTCCAATTTTTCTGATGCTAGCCAAGGAGGGAGCAGGAGCACGGGGGGAGGTGGAGTTTGAAGAAGCCATTTTGCTCTGCCATGTCCACCCAGCGAGACAGAGACTTTAGAGATTGTTAGGACCAGTGTGGGACTGTAGCTCGTAGCTAACACCCCCCGACCCCATTGTGTTTTTGTGTGTGTGTGCGTGCTTTTTGTGTGACTCCAGCAATCCTGTGCGAGTGTGCAGACATGTAGACATCCTTGCAATTGTGGGGGCTTTTTGCCTACTTTTTTGTGAGGCTGTGTGTGTGTGTGTGTGTGTGTGTGTGTGTGTGTGTGTGTGTGTGTGTGTGTGTGTGTGTGTGTGTGTGTGTGTGTGTGTGTGTGTGTGTGTGTGTGTGTGTGTGTGTGTGTGTGTGTGTGTGTGTGTGTGTGTGAGATGATGTGCACTTGTCTGATGACACACATGTGTGGCGCATGCTCGTTTTGAGGTGTTTGTGTGTGTCTGCGAGTGTCCTGGTGTGTATTGATTGGTGGTAGCAGCAGGTCGATGTCTCTGACAGGCTGAATTACAGTAATCAGTCATTATTGACTCCCCATCTCTCTGCTACACACACCTCTCTGCTCTCTCCTCTCCCCTTCTGTCTCTCCTTTTCTCCCTCCCTACTATGCCCTCTACTCCACTCACTCCTCCTTTCTTTCTTTTTCTCTCGCTCTTCTATTTCTCTAGTTCAGCATCTATGTCTTAACATCCATCTAGGTCTTGTTGGTGCATCATTTCTCTATCTCCCTCGCTAATTCTGTCTCTGTATTATCTCTCGTCTCTCTTAACTCCCTTATCTCATTGCATTTGTTTCTCCTCCTATCTCTGTTATATGTTCTTCTTTTTCAGATTTCTTTACTTTTCAGTCTTCATTCAGCTTTATTTTAACTCTCCCATCTTTCCTGTTTATTCTCATTGTCCTCTGAAATCCTGAAAAATGTTTTAGCTTATAAGAGTAAATTAATGTTTAGGACAACAGATGATAATAGGGGTGTAAGAAAATATTAATAATACACTTAGTATGGCAATATTGTGGTTTTTTAAAATAATAATTTACATACAAAGATCCATAGGAGTGGTCCATTTTGTGTGTAATCTATGTTGAGGCATTTGACACTAAGACTCAAAAGCTCAGATTGCACAAAAAGTAGTATAATATTGGACTGTGATAAATGCAAAAGCAGATCCCACTGCTCTGATTGTTTAAAATTTACTTTTTAAATGCATACAGTGGTGTCTTCTTTATGATATGACGTTTTTCTGAAATTTAGATTAAGAAATTGCAATATATTGCAATATATTTCATCGTAACCCTTGTATTGTGATATGTACAGTATTGCCAGGTTCTTGCCAATACACAACCCTACATGGTCAGGTAGTACAATACAATGCACTACAATTTCAGTGAAAGGTCAGAGTGCTTTGTAAGGTGTATTGCATCTGAAACTAAAATTGTCAAGTTTGTTATCTGGCGCCATAACCACTGAATTTAAAAAAACAGAAAGACATGAAGTACAGGAGCAGTGACCAAGGTACAGCCTTATAGATAAATACAATGCATAGCTTTTACTTTTTTGTTTTCAAATAGGATCAGACATTCCTGGACATTAGTGCACATGCTGCACTTGAGGGTTAGATGCCCTTGTCTGCCCCTGAAGTGCCTCATCAAGCTCTGTGTCATCGGTTTTTCAGTGCTGCATTGTAACATCAAGTATCCTTGCAGAGGGGCTGACACAGAAGCAAATGAAGGAAGAAAGATGGAACGAAGGCTGGCAGGGCTAAGTGTGTCAGTGGTTAACTGGCATTTTTCTCTCCTTTCTTTTCCTGTCTCTCTCTCTGTCTGTCTTCCCTCCCTCCCTCTCTTTCAGTCCCCTGGCCCTCAGGGCGGTCCATCTGCCTTCTCTCTCTCTCTGATCTTTCATTCACCATGACTAGAGCCATCCAACAGCACACACACGCATACACTACCAGTGCCAGGCTGCTGGGGCAGCTGTGTGTAAGCACAGCTCTATCTCACATATCAGCTCATTGCAGCAAGAAATGCAATCCAAGACTCCCCAACACACACACACACACACACACACACACACACACACACACACACACACACACCTCATAGCCCTCACCATTTTCACGTCACAATGAAATGCAACACACACTGAGCTTTAAAACTTCTCTATCCTCTGATGACTCGTACACACAACGGCAAATCTTTGGTCAATGTAGAGAAAGATGGATTCCTCCTGTAGCCCACCACAGTGAAATCAATCCCTCTGAACTTATAGACTAGACCAGAGGAAAGTAAGGAGCAGACTGCTGAGTGATATATTGGTGTCACTACTCCCTAAGCGACAGCTCCTGAAGCTATTGCTGCGTACAGATCATATCAGGGAAATGGAGAATTCCAACTTTGTACCTCAAAAAGTGCAAAATAGTGGCTCTTAAAGGGGAATTTGAAACACTCATCCCCGATTGATCCAGTAAGACAAGAAAAACTAACATGATGTCAACATGGCAACGAACAATAATGTCAAAATACAAAATTTAAGCTGAATCTTTAATAGTTTCAGTGCATGTTTAAGGAATAAGACTTATTACTAAGGCACATTTTACTCCAGTTTGAGTAAGGGTTGCTAAAAACTATGTCAGTCTGTTATAGGAAAATGCTATAGACTTGTGAGCCATTTTCATAGCTGCAACAGAAAGGAAAACAAAAAGTAAAGGAAGTCAAGAATTGGTCGTTGTTGTCTTTTGATAGAATTTGATAACAATTGGAAAAGTATTGAATAGTGTCATCCCAATCCTTCGAAGCAGAGATGATAACATAATAGGCTAATTATAGGAAGTTAATGACTTCATTAAATAAGCATCAGGCAAAAAAAATGTCTAAATTGGACCACGACATTTACAACCGAACTGGGGAGCAATAATAAATCAAATAATTTGATTGAAATTGGTCCTTTCAAACATTATATATACAACATACAAATAGTTCGCTTGGCATGTGTCTCTGCCAAAGAAGTATAATGTCCACATTAAAAT